CATTTATATCCTGAATTTGAATATCTCTTATAACTTGGAGATTATCTTTTATCTATGTCCAAAAGTTCACTCTCTGGAACTTCCGTATCATTATTACTATAATCTGAAAAAAATCTTGCGGGAAAAGCTCCTTTTTTCAGATTTCTTTTTCGTAGTCTTTCTTCCCTAGCACCTGCATAAGGTGGTAAAACCTTGAACCAAGGGGATCAAGGGAAGGCACCGTATTCACCTTAAACTTTCGATGTTGTAAATTAAAACCTGCAATTTAAACAATTATGGTACTTTATCGTATATTTTGTATCTTTAAAATTTCCAACAGTAGAAAAAAAATACAAAAAATAAAAATAAAAATTTTAATTCAATTTTAAATAAAATGAAAAAAATCCATCCGCCTTATACAGCTTTATAATATATTCAGGATCATACTGATCGTGATATCTGGCGGAAGAAATGGCACAATTCTTCCCCATTGCGGTATCTGTCACAGCGCCAAAGAAGTTTTACTTCAACCGAGCGTAAAGTTTAGACGCACTCATTTTTTAATATAATTTACATTTTACATAGCGTAGAGCGTTATATTAAGGTAATTCTGTCACTAGTTACGAGTTCTGTACGACATGAAGTTAGTCCGTAAAATTCACTCATCGTAAATCACATATACTACGACAAATATTAGTACCTATAGTCAATACATGTAAAAACATTAATTTCGAACAAAAAAAATGCCTAGGACCTATTGTTATAAGTTAAATCCTTATCTACATCATTAACTTACACGACATACATTTAAAATTCGTATGCGATATTGTTATACGACTTGTCCATGTGCGGGCAAGGCATGATCTTATTTTATCTTACGACTGACGTCTATCAACTTCTATCAGTTACTGGTCATTCGGAAACTACCCATTGTATATATATATATATATATATATATATATATATATATATGTATATATATATATATATATATATATATATATATATATATATATATCATTCACTGCACATACGCACAAGTAAAATTTACAGGCCACAGATCGCAAGCAGTCCATCAATTAAGCACTTGAATAACCATTCTGTCATTCATTAATAACTTTCTCTCTATTTATGCAAGAACTATAATTAGATGAAATAATTACGAACAGACAAATATCTTTAAAAAAATTACATAGTGAATCGATAGTTTTTAATTGCATAAAATGGAGTCATAACCGCGTACTAGTTAGTATCAGCTAAGGTCGTTGAAATTTATTTAATTAAGATTAAGTTGTGTCGCTTTAAGATTCACCTGTACATATTATAAAACAAATTTCATAATATCTTTATTGTAAATATTTATTTATTTTCATTATTTTATAAAAATAAAACACTAGTCTTACAACTTCTTTTTAGAAAATAATTGAACCAACAAGTAACAAAAACATATAATTTTTCCAAGCTTTTACACTATTATTATTTACACTACTAATCATATCGAAAGAAACTTTTAGAATGTTTAAGTTTTATTCTGCACTGAGTGACTGAGCAAATGAAACAAAGTAATACAAAAGCCATAATAATAATAGTTTCTATCACGCCAATAAGTACATATACAAAAACCCTATTACCAATATATTGTTTCTCCGCAAAGGAAATTGTAATTATTATACAAAACAAAACTGTAAAGCTAGGTACGTACTACATACATCTTCGATATTGGCTTTTATAAATATTGATTTAAATTCTAGGTTAAAAATTTGTTTACACTTTACGGTTTCATCGAATCGATTTTCATATACGGTTTGCCGTATCGACAAAAAACGCACATGTGTTCACGTTAATATGTTTTTTAATTCGATTCGCCAATTCGGAAAACCGTATACGATTTGTGATATTGTTTCGTTCACACGTTGCGGTTTACCGAATCGGTTATCGTGTACCTACGGTGTGCTGAATAAAGGAATCGATTTTTTTAACGTATTTGGTTTTGTCGTACGATTTACATATACAATCAACAATAATTTTTGAAACCGTACACGAAAACCGTTTCGGTAAGCCGTAATGTGTGAACCCGCTGTTACGAGGAAAAGTCAAAGTTGTCATGCAGCCATTACATTAATGTACTCGTAATTAATATGAATTATAGTCACGGCGCAAATAAGAAACCTTTGATTGATCGACCGTTGACCCCAGTCCACACGTGTTCCATTGAAGCGTAAGTGGGTAAAATAGTTTTTGATAAATCATACTATTGCAATACCGAAGAGGGAAGACATAATATTAAGTGAATGAACGAGGCCGATATGGCTCGTTACATTGTACTTAGTATTCATTTTCTCTACTGTGTGTGTTGTGTTTGTTAAGTATTTGCTTAGCTACACTACATTTTAGTACATTTTGAGTAGTTGAATAAGTTCTTCAATATAACCGTCTATCACACACGTGTTATAGTTACATATATTAGCAGAAGGTAATGAACGAGTAGGAATAATATGCCGACTCTACTACAATAAAAATTTTATTTTATTAAGTATTAGTATACATACTTCATTTTAAATATAAATATATTGTCCATATAAAATACAAAATAACATATTTTGATTAAATTTACAAAATGTACGCATTTTAATTAATCAGAACTTAATTAGGTATTATATTTTCGTATTGTTCGCTGATGACCTCTACGATAAACATAGCACTTTCAATTCACGTGTTGCCTATTTATGAAAGTTTGTACTGGATCTTACAAACGGGCACATATACAATTTTTAACCTAAAATTTTTGGTTAATATAATTTTGAGGAAGGAAGTAGGAATTGTGAGGGAGTCACTGGATATTTCTGGTATGATTTTTTTATGTTAGAATTAGATACTTGGTGTCTATTTATTCTTTTAATTGCGTAGCACTGAAGATCTATACAATTTCTTATGTTATACTTTATAAGTAATAGATATTTCTAAATACGAAATAATAACATACATTCAATTGTGAACAAAATGCAAGGAAAAGCTACTAATAGTAACTTGGTATTTAATTATTAAAACATTATAATTGTACAATTTATATAAATATAAAAATGAATGCAGTATTAAAATACTGCATTCATTTTCTCACAGGTAGGTATATAATATATTTTCAAGATATAAACCTGTATCTTTAACGAGAGTTTTGAGATAGTCAATTTTGATTTAATAAATATATTTACAGAATTAAAATTAATTTAAAAATATTTTACAGGTTCATCCCTACGTATATATCTACATATTATATCTATACTAATTATATAAAATTCTTTGTTTTTAGATTTAAACGGGTTTAACTAAAAAATTATCCAACGGATTACAATGTTTTTTTTTTTAATATTCCTTACGATTCCAGAAGTGCTATAGGCTATGCTAAATTAGATTTTTTTAAACAAAATTTGAAAGTGGGCTGTGGGAGCAGCAAAGCTATATCATTATTTTACATTATTTTTAACTAACCCTGGCCGTATATATAGTATGTACATAAAAATCGATGTGTGGTCCCTATGGACTCTAAAACAGCTGGAGCGAGTTTGATGTTCAGGCAATCTTCAGATTAGACCAGCAGGTAATCCAGTGAAACTTAGTGGCGATCGCAAGTTTGAACGCGGGCAAAGCCGCGGGTAGGAACCTACTACTAGTAATTATATAGTTTTACAATAATGTACGGAAGTCTGCCCGACATTTATGATTTTTGCCATTTATGATTACTGATGCAAATGCAAGGGAGCGGCTTGAGTATTAGCATAATGATATTATAACCTTCCACAATAAACGGGCTATCTAATGTAAAAAGAATTTTTCAAATCGGATTATTACTTAGTTTCCGAGATTAGCGCGTTCAAACAAGTAATGTTATTTTTTACAATTTAAAATAAGCTTACCTATCTACGTATGAAATTATACTTTCGGCTTGGAATAAAATGTGTGTTAGATAGTAATTTTTATTACCAATATAAACTACTAAAAATTAACAATTATAGATTAAAGACACTAAAAACACGTTTTTAACCAACTGTAACGTATGATATTCGTCAAAATAAATTAAATGAGTCCAAAGTCGAAAGTTTTACTAGTTGAAAGTTTTACTATGCAGCTCCTGGTTTCATCACAAAACTAAGAAGATTGTAGCAAGTTATTTTATTGTCATCTGGATTTCACACATGCATATAAAGTTTTAGATCTATATTAAAATGATTATAAATTGGCTAAAATCGACTCTCAGTAATTGATTACATAATATTAGTTGCAAGTGAAACTAAGAACAGCAACTAAATAAGTATAAAATATAGTTAAAAAAATTAAGAATACCTAACATAAATATAAAGAAGTATAGCCACAATTTAATTAAAAGAAACCTTTAAAGTCACTTTGTAAAAACTAGTGTAAAATTACGTCTCAACTTTAAAAAAAATAGTTAAAACCAATAATATAAACATAGTAAATACTTATTTTTATCATCTCATATTATTATAGGCATATAAAATTTTTAGTCTAATTAAAGTTATTATACTCGTAGGTATATGACGTATAAATGAAGTCAATAACATTTTAATTATTATATTTATATTGTCATACTTCAGTAGATCTAGATGGAAATTACCTAAATTATTAATAACGACTGAGTATATAAACAATTTCTTATGATACAAAGAATAGGTATTTAATGAAACACACTTCCATGGGTAATCATTTAATTTTCTTGCATATTTCCTAAATACATGAGATACAACAAAATTTTCACTTCAAAATTGTATTGTACGCTATCACATCATACGGCTTTTCTATATAATTTCATAAAATTATTATTATAATCTATAACATTAAATCAGAACAAATTAATAAATATAATTATTAATATCATCAAAACCATAAACAGTATAGAGCATAACGACTAGCTACGAATGGGCTCAATCACTCATATATAGACACCACTGGCTTCTCTCAACTTCCACGAGTCGAATCCAAAATGTTGGCTTCTCGCATTGTCTCTACCTTTTGCGACGTCGTGTACGGGGCCTATGGGACGATTGGGAGCTCCACTCTAAGCTAAGATCACTCGATGAAGGAGGCGTCTCTGGGAACTGGGCATCTGACGTCCATCGACACGAAGCGCACACCGGTTTGGGAGATTCCAGTAGTTTTTCGGTTTCGCTCCCACCGCCGTAAGATTCCAATATGTGCTTGTAAGCGCACTCTAAAGGCTCAGGACTGCGCCCTCTCGCTGCACACAGTCGCATTCGAACGCACGCATTGCAATAACCGCAAATATCGCCACGGAGAGAACTTTTCACCATTTCGACTGGTATGGTTTGCCGCACTAAATAAACTAGTGTGCGTCATCCACCTACAAGAATATTTATGCTCGTCGCGGCGCGACGACAGGCGTAGCGCACGCGCCCGCCGATAACCCCTGTTCGGCGCCAGTGTTAGCGACCGCTTAGCTACGGCCTTAGAAAAAATTGTCTGTTTATTTGCCGCACCTACTTACCTAATATTTTTCTTTATCTTTGTAACTAACGATACTTTCAGCGGTCGTAAAACTACTTGAGTGCAGGGTTACGTCTAATCATATCATTAATTGACATTAATAAACACTTAACGTTTCTATAAATTATTTTCATTGGACATTTTTATCTTCAGGATTATTAAGTAGAGTATGAAGAGAAATAACAAGTTAATTAATTATTTCAATATTCTTATTCGATGTAAATGACTGCATATGAAGCTGATTGTTTACGAGAGATAGTATGACCATATACCAGAGATACTTTGCTATAGTAGGAGTATATAAGTATTATCTATGGAGACCTTTCGTTGCGAGCAAGTTTAGTTTCGCTTGTTTTAGTATCGAGATGTCAGCTACTGTATTTTATTCCCGATAACGTCAATGCTGTTCTAGATCCTTACCAGTAAACACCAGCTTGGCAACCTCATTAGGTACATAGTGCAGATACGAGTACGTTCAGAATATTGTGCATAATAGTGTAAACAAATAAAATTAATCATATTCCCACGTAGATATAAAACTATGTATTAAGACGACATTAATGATTACGTACATTACGACTTATTTAAAAAATGTAGAAAGAATATTGAAACATATATTTTCCTTTGTTTTTAATATTCCATATTTTTCTATTTTATTTCCTCCTTTTATCTCAATTAAAACTTTTATGATAAGGTACACTTTAGTTTAAAATATTACAATAACATGTTGCTCTAAATATCGATATTTAATTAAAAAGAAAATTCGTATAAATTGACAATAACATGAAAACTTCCTGACAATTCTAGAAAGTGAGCAACTCGTCCAATCCAGAAAGGGTACCACAATGTTATCTAACTGTCGATAAGACACAAACAAGTCAATGCTATTTATAAAAGACTAGCAGACTTGCCCTTAACTATTGACATTTCTGACATAAATTTTTGTATCTTTTTGAAGATTCCATATCAAAAGCTAAATTCTTGACACGTCACACAAATAGAATATGAAGTATACAAATCTGGGACGTCAATTTGCGTCTCACTTCATGCTATGCACCATGAACGCTATCAGCTATGCACTAGTGTCGAAACATTAATTGCTGATATGACCAATGTGTTGATACTACTATGTTTTCTAATCTAATGAATGCAAAAAACATATTCGGGGCTATTTTCGTAACTGAAAAATTGCTGAATTGATCTCGTTAAAATAATGTACTCTATCAGTAGCTCTGCACAATTACAACCTGCTCGAAGAGCTTAGATATTTTTCGTTTCAGCGGTAGATGCCGCCCTCTTTAAAGAACATGAAAAAAGTTCTAAAATTAAAATTTCAATGAAAAGGTTAGAGATCAATTTTATTATTATCATAATCGGACTACTATTATTAATACGAAAGTCTGTATGTATGTGTATGTTTGTTACTCCTTCACGCAGAAACGGCTGGGCAGATTTGGATGAAATTTAATATATGGACCTGGAGTAAAAATAGGCTACTGCTAGACGATTAGATTCGCACCCGAGCGGAATGAGGATATATAGGAAAACGTAGCCTTATTTTGTGACAGAGTATGAAAAATTGTAAAAGTCATCATTTATCATTTGAGGTTGAACTTTAACCTCGAATAACTTTTAAACGAGTCGACTAAGCAAAAAATCATATTAGATCTTCTTTGTAGATCGTTTAATTCCCTACAAGTATATTATAAGTATAAAATTCTAAAAATAATCCTTGCCCGGGTTTATATATATATATGGATAATCAAAAATCACGATGACCCACCTCTTAATATTAATATTAAGAACTCAAACTTTACCAGATTTTTTTTCATCGTCTTGGACGATATTTTCATAGTAACTAAAGAAAAAAAGTTATTTTTGGCACATTCCAATGCATATGTCGATTGGCATCCATCTAAGACATCATAAGCAATGTAGGTACCTATTATATATGAAATTTCTTAACATCTACATTTACCTTTTTTCAAACATTACATTAGGGAATGCTTTACTACACCTTTTAGTAATCATATTTCACATATTATACCTGGGTAGTGGGTACCTTATAATTGAACATTATTTAAGAATACTGTGCTAAATGTTTGTATAAACTATAAAGCTAATTTAGTTAATTGAATCTAACCTATGAAGGCCGCATTTTCTCCATCATTGCTTTTAGCTGATACTAAGTTATCCACTGATTTAAAGCAAATGAGACATTGATCGTCTAATTAGCGTACCTAGCAGTCTAAATGCTTTAATACACCCTAAAAACTAAATTAAGCTCGTAGCGGTTATTGAACTTTTCTATACTATGTCACGGTTTTAACATCTTTAAGACAATAATACTTTCTTAGATTTACGCGAATATTTGACATTTTAAATAAAACTATCTTTTCGGATTTTGTCGCGGATTTATTTGCATTTTCGTTTCCCGACGTTTCGAATGCTTTACAGCAATCATGGTCACGGGAGAGACTGAGGTGTTAGATGTCTCTAAGGTATTACGAGTATAAAGTTGTTACAGACAGCCTACCCACAATTAACAAAATGAATTCAAAAAATTGAAAAATGGCACACTAAAAATGACACACTAAATACACTAAAAATGTAGATTAATAATTAATATTTTTAAAATTGTAATAATTATAATAATAACAGCTCAAATTAAATAAATAATATTCTATATTCAATTATAAAGCCAATTAAAATTATATAAAAATGTTTAAAGTTAAAAGTTAAAATATTGTAAGGTACTTTAGTGCCATTTTTCAATTTTTTGAATTCATTTTGTTAATTGTGGGTAGGCTGTCTCTAACAACTTTATAATACCTTAAAGACATCTAACACCTCAGTCTCTCCCGTGACCATGATTGCTGTAAAGCATTCGAAACGTCGGGAAACAAAAATGCAAATAAATCCGCAACAAAATCCGAAAAGATAGTTTTATTTAAAATCTTTAAGACAAAAATAAAAAGTTACTTTTTAAGCGTGAGAAGATGAAATTCTGCTAATTCACAAAAACGAACAATTTTAATTGTAAACTAAATAAGATTATCTCTTTTCCACGGAAAACACGTTATAATACAATCCAAAAAAATATTTATGATCAGAATTACTTGAAACTTGGTAATACAAATAATTAAATACGTGTTTTAACATTTTTCGAAATTCACCCCATAAGGGGGTAAAATAGAGGATGAAAGTTTGTATGTGTGAAACCTACCTTTTTAGTTTTTTTTTGTAGTTTTAGCGCGAGCGAAGCCGCGGATTCTGCTAGTAATATATAAAACATCATCGATACAACAAGATATAATATAAAAAATACTACAACCAATGATAAAGAATTGTTACAAAAAATAAATCAAAGTTACAAAAAATAAATCAAAGTTAAAAATAAAATTGTTTTTCTTAACGATCATGTATCCAACCTAATATAAGAGGATACATGATAACAGCGGCTCTTTCAAGACATAACAGGATAAGTATTATCAAACCATATTTTATCTTTAATATAATGTAAAAACTGAGTGAACTTATACCACAATTAATATATTTATTAAATATTTATAGTTTATCTGTTGTAAGGGGGCAAAGTTTGCCGATATTGCAAAAGATAAAAAAAGTACATTTTCCAAATAAATAAAATTTAAAATGATTTGTGACAATTGCACTTTTCGTCTTCTATAAATACTTACGAATTTAATAAATATATGGACCTTAATAAATTAATGGCTTAAAAATGTGACGAAATCTTCCGAGTAGTTGAATTGACCAAAAATTACATCAGCTCTTAATCAAAAGGCCACCTCAGTAGTTACAATCCCTTTAAGACAGTTTTGCCCCGTTTATAAAAAATATATATTATTATATATTAGCACGGAAGATGAAAAACTTTGATTTGTTTGTTGTTGTCTTTTCCATGACTATAATTACCCAATTTTAACCGTAACTATTTTTTTAATAATAATTACTGTTTTTTAACCGAGTGAAGAGGTTTCAAATTCCGGGTCTTGCACCTCTGATATTTTCATGTGCGAATCATTTCTAACATGATTACCACTTGTCTTAACGGTGAAGGAAAACAGCGTGAGCAAACCTGCATGTCTGTGCGAACCTAGCACGTTTTCGAAAGACATGTGGATGTATGAATATTTAAAGTATTAATTACCTACGATAAAATATTACATAACGAAATAATTGCCAAAAAAATTCTAACAATAAAAAACCCAGTAATTATTTTACACTGAGCCGGAACTCGAACCTAAGGACCTCTTGAACTACAATCATACATACTAGAAACTAGATCAACGAGGCAATTTACTTGCCTCATAAGTGTTTTTACTTTAAAAAGGTTTGAATACTATTAATTTAATTATAACTCGCTATTACATGACGATACAGAAATTTACAGAAATTTGCCGGCGTTCGACAGAAGCGCGCCCAGTTTAAGCTAAACGCTGTTTAATACGTTCATCCATATAGATATCTTAACTTACATTGGCACCGTCTTTTCTGAAATTATCATTTTTTGAGTTTGTTGTGTACATATAAACTTTCAAATTTCAATCATCATCGTTTTACAAACTACATATAATATAATTAACCAAAGTTTCAGCCAAACCAACTCAATAGAATTTTATATATAGCATTATTGAAATTATACTTCTATTGCTATGCGATGCGACAGATTTGGACTACAGTATGAAGTTAGTGACTATTGTCTACAGTGTGAAGTTAGTCGTTATTGGCTACAATGTGAAGTTTTTTTTAATTTTTTATTTTATTTCTATGTTTATATGGAAATAAAATAAAAAATAAAAACAAACACGTGTTTTATATCGATAAATATAAAAATTATTACAAGCTTTTATTTAGTTTCACCCGTCTCATTGTCTGTCTGTAATCAAATTTTACAAGTTAAATTCCCAATAACCCACTTCCAATTATCCGATTGAGCTGAAATTTGGAACACACATTTGGCTCTCGTGACTGCACGATTTTCAAAATGCCACCATGTTTAAATGTTTAAGTTAAATGTTTAAATTATTCTTTCACGCAAAAACTACTGAATGGATTTTAATGAAACTTTACAATAATATAGCTCATACATCAAAATAACACATAGGATACATTTTATTCCGGAAAACTGTACGGCTCTCGTAGGATAGACTTGTTTTTGTTTTTCTTGAGGCGAACGCGTGGAAAGCGAGGGTAAGCCGCTAGTACATAATATACTGACGTATATACGTGCAAAACGTGCGATACGTAATATAAATTGTAATAGAGTCACAAACATAAAAAAAAATACAGCCGAATTGAGAACCTCCTCCTTTTTGAGGAAGTCGGTTGAATCAAAACTAGGTATGTAAATATTTTTGAAATTAGAAATGATTGCGACGTAAGGAAAGTCAAATTTATATTAAGTATTAGCATTGCCCGCGGCTCCACCCGCGTTCAGATGACCAAAAACCAAATTCTTATGTTTTACACATTAGTATAGTACTCTTACAATGCAGTTTTTGTATTTTTTCTCAGAAATTAGATATTTTCCCGCGGTAGAAATATCCTATATGTTAACCCGGATAACCAGCTATCACCATACCAAATTTCATCAAAATCCCCCCAGTGGTTTTTCTGTTATGCGTTAACAGACAGACAGACCGACAAAAATTCTAAAAACTATAGATTCGCCCTCTGTATCGATAAAAATGTTTGTTTCAATAAGATTTTCCAAAAAATATTTAATGTACAGATTCGCCTTACTCCTTAGTTACAATTTTATTGTATGTATGTATAGATAATAATTTTTTTTTTCTGAATCGCGTGCCTAGACAGATTTAAGTGTCTATATTTTTATTGTACAGCCTGAGACTGAGAGTCTGACTTCAAAACATATAAATTGGTCAAATTCAGCTTGTGCGCACATTACCACGTGCTCTCGATATCACGATATGCGACCTACAACAATTATTGAGATGTACGACAAAAGAAGAGCTCATGGACTAGTTTAGCTAATAGCCTGAAGATTTATCACCAGACACTTCATTAAACCGAATGAGAGATGAAGAAAGAGCAGAAAATGGGATGCCACTGATTTGATCTCTATGCCGACCATGACTGAAGGTTTACATTCAGATGGCATCGACTACCACCCTTAAAAGTTGCTGAAATTAGAGTCACTTGTTTTATGGCATAGCAGAGGTCGTTGGGGTTGCAAGAACAAGGGAAATACACTTTGCATAGGAAACATATTTCGACAATTGTAGTATGTATGTGGCCATTGTGCCAATTTGAGAACACCTTGTTAAATCATGAAAAATATTTTCTTTTTATTTTTTTACAATTTTACGTATTCCATCACCAATAAATAACAGTATTTTAAAAATACGCTTGTTACTTTTTGTTTGCCTTTAAATGGGTAAAATAAAAGAGACTTTTGTTTATTATCCATTTATTTAATAAAATTATTACTTTTATAAAATATATTACCTACAGACCGTTTGACCGTTGACCGTCATAATGTAACATATATAATTAGGCTAAATATAAACTTACAATAAAATAGTCAAATTTTACACATGATAAAGTTGACTAACCCTTTAAAATAAATACCTAAAAGGATTTTGCATACAAACATTTTGTTTCAGTAAAGGCCACAAGTTTTTTATTAATTTAGAACTGAAGGAATAATAGTACATAGAAAACAAATATAAATTGTAAAATACTTTACGTAACAAGAAATGTGAAAAAAACTTAAGTGAGACTATCAGCAAGACTGTCGAAAAAGTCATTTTTACAGAGAACGTTTAAAGACTTAAGATAATGACAAAAACGGTTATTTCTTTTAATATTTGAATCAGTTTTGTTCTTTTCCAATCGACACAGGGTTCTACAAGATGGCCAGTAATCCAGAGCGGTTGCTCTTCGATCTAATACTGCAGATGGGTTTAAGTAGCTCGAGAGGGTCTTGTGGCGTGAAACTGTTCTATCTCGTTCCCTAAAAATACAGTTTAAAATACATTAAACAAACGTATTAGGTATGTTAATACTATTTATACGCGATATAACACCAATAAAAATCCGGACAAGTGCGTGTTGGACTTATCCACCAGGGTTCCGTACAAATTTGTAGGAAATCTGTGTAACTTTAATTTTTAACGTTTTTTATTTTTTGAAATTTTACTTTATTTGTGCTGTAAGACCTTGCTTTTTGTTAAATTTCGTGATTCTAGGTCAACGGGAACTACCATATAGGTTTTTGACCCAAAACCTATAGGGTACTTCTTACCTAGAATTGTCAATTTTGGTTAAAAGCAAGGTATTACAGTATATGTAAAGGGAAAATTCTGAAAAATAAAAAAGTTGAAAATTAAGGTAAATTTTGGTACTTACAAGTTTTCGCAAAAATCTAAATTAGACCATATCTTTTTATCGGTTGATTCAAGACCTTGAATTTTATACACCTAATAGGGACTATAGACCTCAGTATCTGGTATAAATTTCACTTGCTAGGTGTGGACCTACGGGTGGCCGTTCCTGAGAAAACGATGGTGACACACGGACAGACAGACAGACGGACAAGATAGTGATCTTATAAGGGTTCCTTTTTTAGAGTTCCGTACCTATACAAAACTATAATAACAAAAAATAATAACGGCAAAATCCCCTCTTGGGCTCCCCTACTATAATTCTATTTTTCTAACATAGAACACACTCTATGTGCGTTCTATGTACTCCAATCCACTGATATATTCATGATGTTATTGAGATCCACTGCTATAGCTAAATTTGTCTGTAAATTAGCTAACAAAAGCAACACTGCATTTTATCAAGTACAGAGAAGAATACCCTTCAACCGAGACTCGATCTTTCGACGAGGCGCCAATAATGTTGAAAAATAAAAAGTAATATTTAATTAAATCTAGGTAAATATATACAATCTATTATTTGTATAAAAAAACTTAAAATGTGTTTATGTATAAATTACTCACCTTTGCATACTCATGCTAGGAGGACGAATATTCACGGTATTTTCGGAACACAATTCTTGAGCTTTCGCAATAGTACTCGTCATAAGTACATTCATTATATCCTTATTAATAGAAAACGCACTATCGAAGTCATCTAAATTTTCTATTTCCAACAAACTTGGGTTTTCATTTGTGTACCAAGGTCTAGTAGCAATATTGAACCTTCGATCTGGTTTTATATGGTCTAGGTGGTCAATTGCAGATATCATATCCAACATATCAGCCATCTTTTGTAACCCTGCATATTTTTCTTTAGTTTCATTAGCCCCACCATTACTTATATTGTAATTATTGATATAACTGGGTAGACTCCACCATAAGTTGAAAATATTAAATGAATCACATGAAAATTTTTGTGCTCGTTTATCAATGGCAGACACTGTCATTGATTGAATTTCATTTGAAGGTCCTTCAAAACCCTCTGAATCTGCCCAAGAAATATTTGAGTTTTCGTCATCCAAGTTACACTTAACTTGTGATAGAACAACATCCTCTATTTGATTCACTTTAAATGAGTTCATGTAAAATTGTAAGTAATTGATAGTTTTTCTTATATCACCTTTGTTAAAATCTAATAACTGTGCCCCCAATCCCGTGTAACACATCCCGACATCTACCAAACACATAATGTCCAACCACGTACCAAGCATTCTAGGCAGTAATGGTCGCATATGAATAACTTTTCCATTTTGCAAAAATCTTTGCAAATGTAGACATGACAGCGACGACGTAACTAAAATAACAGGACGTTTAGAAGAATGAATCAACTGAGAAATAGCTGAACAAAAACCGTCATCTTGATCAAAAACTATATCAGCGTCATCTATTAGTATTAGTGACATTCCAGTTCTTATACTCTCTTGGCTTGGAGTTACTGGAGTTAGAGATACAGGTGTAATGGGATTTTTTACTTTGGTATCCTCCTTTGATTTTTTAGGTCTACCGCGTTTTTTTACTTTTGCCATAGGCACTTCTTGCGATTTTTGCGAGCAATCTGAACTTTTGGCTCTATTCACTTTATGTGACTGTGTTGCTTCTTGAAGGTCTTGTATCATAATTTTCCCATTTCTTTTGCTACTTGCATTAACTTCTATCACCTTAATAGCTAATTCTGCGGCAACTGCATAAACAGCACTGGTTTTCCCAGACCCAGTTTGACCTGTTATTATTAGCACATTATTTGAGTTTTTTTGTGCATCTCTACTGTCTGTATCAGAACAGTAAAAATCTGACATATCAGAAGCATCACTGCCATTATTTTTTGCTTTAATCAATTTTTCAGTCCATGATTCAAGCCACCGTTTAAGCTCCTTTATGCTATCAAAATTACCTATAATCTGCTTGGACGATGTAGGTTTATATTTTTCACACCAATTTAATTTTTCTAGTGTCTCATTGCTAAGGTCTGTGAAGTTATTGATTATTTCGAAACTATTGTCTAAGTCAGGATAATTGCAGTCTTTAAATTCTCCTTTGCTCTTGCCTTTAAGTAAATGATATGTTCTGTAAACAGGAAATTTAGGATATGATGTTTTAATGTTTTTTAAAATCTTATCTGATTTTTGTTTTAAGGAAGGAACATCTTTACTTTCTGTTGAAGATAATGTCAATAACTGTTTGAAGAACGAATTACTATTATTAACATTATTGATTTCATCAGCATCATCATGAGAAGTTTGAAACCAATCTTTTAATTCAAAGTTCTTTTTGCAGGGATCTAATTGTTGAACATGAACAACAGAATTAAATGAATCGCATCCTGTGATGGTGGTGTTAGTTTGCACTATATTCTTTTTAAGCTTTTCTGGTACACCACTCTTTAAAAAATTCTTTTTGGCTTCAATAGCTTCTTGAGAAAGTTGTGGTTTTGAAACGAAAATTGGAGCTAGCTTGATCGCTTTCTTCTCTTTATCATTGTTAGTATGATTTTTCGATTTTTTTTTACTTCCAGTATCCTTTTTTTTTAATTTAGTTTTTACTTCCGGTTGATCCACTAATTTTTGATTATTATTATTTTTAGTGGTTTTATGTGTTTTATTATTAATAGAATTTAAGACTATGTTTTTTTCTTCTTTTACATTTTCAATAATATTAACTTTTGAATTAAGTTCTTTGTTCCTTTTTTTCTTTGGTGTGAAAATATGCAGCTCTTCATCTGAACTAAAACAATTAACATCTTCCGTATATTTAACAGGCATTTTTGAATTTCGTTTTGGCCTACCCTCATTATTAGGCTCTATCAAATCATTTGAATCTATAGTAGTTTGGCTCGACTTATCAATGTTTACATTACGTTTTCTTTTTCTACTATCACCAATATCTATTATTGACTCATTTAAATCACTATGCATAAGATTACATTCTTCATTACTTTTATTATTAGGATTTCCCAGAACAGGTTGCTGAATTTTCTTTTTTTTTCGTTTAGGAGTGAATTTAACTTTTATAATATGTTTATTTTCATAGTCACAATTATTTTCCGACTGATCCTGATCATTTGTTTCTGCTTCTTCAGACACCTTCTCTTTCTCCTTATTTAATTTTTTGAAGTAACAAAGCATGTTTTCCTTTTTTCTAAGAGATGGTGAAAGTTTATTAAGAAAATCAATATCTTCCTCAGATATTTTTTTCACTAACTTATTTTCATTTACAACCGCAGTAGTATTACTAAATATATCACATAATTTTAGTGTGTTTAGTTTCGGAGATGAACTGTTGGAGTTATTGGCACTATCATTATTAGAGTATTCTGTTTCTAACTTGGTAGTCAAGTTGATATCTGGAATGGTTTTCTCTTTTTTATCAACTTTTAACTCAGGTTTATGAATCATATCTTTGAGCCTTTCTGCTCTTTTCAACATTTTATTTTTTACGCATTTATCTCTATATTCTTCAATTTCCTTTTTATTTATTGCACCTTTATCTTCTGCCATTTTCTGAAGAGATAACATTCTCTTTGCCTTTATTTCTTTCTTTTCCATTAATTCTTGTAAATCTAAGTCATTACAACATTTTTCTTTACCTGGAGAGTTTCTGCCTATACTCTTATTCCTAGAATCCATCATTAATTTAAAAGCATCCATCTGTTTTCTATTTTGTGCCTCTTCTTCCAAAAAATTAGGTTTTGTATCCGGAACATTTATATTGACAGTAGCACTATTGAAACCATTAATTTGTAAAGAATTTAATTGATTACAATTTCTCCTTTTTCTTACCATTTTAAAAAGATAATTACTTGGCTTTAATACTTCACCCTCAGTTAAATTATTGCCACTCTGTTTGTTTTGACTATTAGGTGACTTAATCCTTAAAGAATTTACTAAAATTTGTGATACATTTAACACTTCCGGATCCTCATTGCCATCTTTTCGTAATTTATATTTCTTCAATTTTTTCCTTAATTCTTTATTGCATTTGGTCTTAAATTGATTTTCTTTTGATCTCAAAATACGTTTATGGCTATGATTAAGGGCATTGTAAGCAATTCTGTTACTAGTTACATCTGCATCTGGTTCTGAAGACTGGGACATTACTATCCTGCAAATATACAAGATTATCATTTGAGGACCAAAGGTATTATAACTGTATTCTTGGATATTTTAGTCTTCGCATTAGTTTTTATTTATAAAGAATTAAACACTATAATATAAGTAGTCTATACGAACCGTGCATACTTCTGGATTTAAACTAATCGATCCTAATAATTAGTGTTCAACTAAACCATATTATAATCATATGTTGGTAATAATCCTTAAGGTAATATTCCTTTATTTTGACCCTCTAAGTATTCTTTATATTACAGAAACTGATTAAAAACACAACACCAAGCAAAATTGGCGCCTACGAATATTTACCATATTTGAAATGTCAAAGTCAACATTGACATCAGCATTTCTTTTTAACGGATTTAGCCAAAGTTTTATCTATTTAGAGCCGAATAATGACCATTAATATACTAAATAACTTTACAAATAACAAAAATTTATAACCTAAAATTAAAACTTGAAAATAAAAGCAGGTATACCTAAAAAAATATGATTATAATATTTTTTTTATAAATATATTTTTATATAACAGTTACTGGCAAAAGAGTTTCACTTTTTTTGCCTGTGGGTTTGGTATTAAAGTTGCTATTTTATAAATCGATTTTCGACAAGTAGCCGAGATTTCAGAGTTGAACGGCGAAGTATTTTTGTGAATAAATACGTATTTCTTAGATTGAAAAGTATTTCAGAAAATGTCATCGAAAACCATCGCTACTCCACTCATTCGCCATGTAACGGTAACATTTTACGTTTAGTAAATGGATAAAAATTAGTTATAAAAATTTTCCTGTCTGTCAAAGCCCTGTTATGTAAAACCATATGATATGATAGAACCAAGGATTTTATATATTTTGTTTATGGAACATATATAAAATCTTTGGATAGAACTAAAACATTCATCAGCCCTAATATTTGTTATCTTCTGCTTTATCTAATGTTACTGTTTCCATATAGGCAAGGAACTATGCACAAGCTGCTCCAGCTTTAAAAAAGGATGTGAGAATTCAGTCCAGTGTTTTGCCCAATAAAACATTTGTGGCTGCATTGGATAATGGATCTCCAGTAGCTCGTGTTACTATCGCCTTCAAGTAAGTGCTATTATTTAATTTAATTATATTTAAGTAATTGAAAAGAAAAAATATTGCACATACTATTACATTTTTTTATTATGAAAATTCAACATCTAAATAAGAATACAGTATATCTATTATTTAAGGAAAAATTCTGATTTTAAGGCCTTTTTCATTAAGAGTATTATTTATTAGTAACTTTTTTTAATACTATACTTACAGGGCAGGATCACGCTATGAGCCACAAACAGAATTAGGCTCTGCACATCTTTTGCGTTCTGCTGCAGGGTTATCCACAAAGAATGCTTCTGCCTTTATCATCCGTCGTAAACTTGCACAAATTGGTGCATCCTTCAATGCTTCTGGTGACCGTGAATTCATATACTATACTCTTGAGGTAAATGTAATAGAATATATTAATAACAAACACAAAATATAACATTTTATGTTTTTGGGCCATTATTTTGTGATAAAGTATGAAGAATTGTAAAAGTCATCATTTACTATTTGAGATTGAGCTTTAACCTTGAATAACTTTTTAACAAGTTGGCTAAGCAAAAAATCATGAAGTTATTAAAGCCACCTCTTAATATTAATAACTCAAACTTTACCAGATTTTTTTTTCGTCATCTTGGACAATATTTTCATGATAACTAAAGAAAATATTTTTTTTTGCACACCCTAATATACATACATAAGTACATTTAACATTATATAGATATATTACTTTTGTGGAGATCAGATCAGCAAAAGTATAAAAAATTAAATGCTTAAATCAAAAAGCAAAATTTATATTATAATATTTATGTACATTTTACAGGCAACCCAAGATAATTTACAACAAGCTCTTGAATACCTAAACAACATTGTATCTAACCAAGAGTTTAGGCCATGGGAATTAAATGACAATCTGTCCCGTCTCAAGTTTGACCTTGCAGTACTGCCTCCTCAGGTAATATGTAAATCTGTTTTTTTGTAGATTTTACTGAATGTCATGTAAATTTTTATTTAAAATTGATATATTGCAAAAAAAATATTTTTCAAGTATTAATTGATATGACATATTATTATGATTAAAAACTTGGACTATCAAAGTTTTTAATCATATTCTTAGTTGATTAATTTTTTTTTCTTTTTTGGCATAATAATAAATTCATTGTTTTTTATTAAATTATTTTGGGGGTTTTTGATAAAAATCAAAGAAACCATAGTTAAGTTACTAGTAATACAATATTAAACAGAAGTGCCTTAACAAGTCTACAGACAAACTGTGCAAACAGTTTTGGGTCCATTACAAAATTAAAAGTAAATCTTATAGTGTAATAATTATAAATTGTAATTGTAAGTTTCATTTGATTTAATATATTTGTTGTGACCAAAAAAATAATTTCTTTTTAGACAACTTTTAAAATAATTTCATTGGCCATTGCTTCTTCACTTCCTGAAAGAAGCATCAAAACAAAAAAAAATATGTCTACATTTATAATATTGATAAACATAACCAACAGGTTTTACTGAACACAAAAGTGAAATTCTTATTCATTGTAATGATTTAAATATTTAATTGAACTAAATAAAATTATACATTTCAATAGATTCGTGCAGTTGATTTACTTCACAAGGCTGCATACCGCCGTGGATTGGGCAATTCTCTATTCATTGCCCCTAAGAAGATTGGGAAGATCAATTCTGAGTCTCTCCAACACTTTGCCGCCAGCACTTTGACACCTGGCCGATGCGCTGTCACTGTTATTGGTAACAGCCAGGTGACTACTTTTATAATCTTTAACTAATCATACTAATATATAATTGTGAAAGGTTATGCTTATTACTTCTTTACGCCGTAACAGTGCAATAGATTTAAGCAAAATAATAAAATAGCTTCTAGTTACGTAACATTATATTAAGTCGAGCGTTACGTTAATTATTTGCTTTTAAGGGTTTATAATGTTAGCGACTCACCCTTGCTTCGGTTGGGTTTATTTCCCATGTACGTTCTGAATTAAAATGGATATAGTATGTTATCCTTAAGAGATAGAGATATGCCATCGCGAACTTTTCTGTAGACCTATACACAATTCCACCATATATATTTTCAACCGACTTCAAAAAGGATGAGGTTCTCAATTCGACTGTATTTTTTTTTTAAGTTTGTTACTTCAGAACTTCGTCATTTATTAACCGATTTGGACAATTTTTGTTTTGTTTGAAAGGGTATACTTCTAGATTGGTCCCATTTAAATTTCAAAAAAAAATACCACCCCTAAGGGTAGAAAAATAAAATTTGCTTTGTATGGGCTGGCACCGATTTCAAAAATATTTGATAAGGTATGTATTTAATAGGTAGGCTTTAATTACTTAGCCAAAGCACACCGAATTCGAAAATATTTGATTAGGTATGTATAGTAAATGAAAACTACCAATCAGTTATTTTTTACTTTTTAGTGCTTTTGTTTGAAGTCGGCTTTTATTTTTTTGTTAAAAAGTTTTTGTTATACATCTCAAAGTGTTTAGGCAGCGTTTTCGTTGAAAGCTCCCAGGCAGCTTATTTTTTTCAGATACCTCCAACAATTATTGTTATATTTTAGCCAATGTATACAAAAACTTAATAAACAAATTATATACTAAAACCTTCCTCGCGAACCACTCTATCCATTGGTAAAAACAGCATGAAATTCGGTGGAGTACTTTTTGAGTTTATCGCGAACAGTCAGACAGACAGGCGTGGCGGAGGACTTTGTTTTATAATATGTAGTGATGGTTTATCATTGTACACAGGACAATGCCAGCCTTGTGGCTCAAGCACTTCAGCTGTCGTCAGGTAATGAAACTCAAACTGAGGCTTCCAAATACTATGGAGGTGAATTAAGGTAAAAACCTTTACTAGTCCTTTATTAATTAATACCTTGCATTTAGATATAAATAACATTAGTGACTTGAGTATTTTACAAAATGATGATATTTTATACTAGGATAGAAATACTCTTCTGTGGTCTAAGAAGAAGTTCACATTAGTAATAACTACAATAATAAACAGTAAAATCATGCTATGGACGTTCTAATATTATGAATGTAATTGTTCGTGAGGACGAATGGATGGATGTTTGTTACTCTTTCACACTAGAACAGGTGAACGGTTCTGGATGAAATTTGGCACAGAGATAGATTATAGTCTGGAATAGCACAATGGTTACTTTTTATACTTAAAAATGTATGGTACTCATGGGATAGATTTGTTTTTGTCTAGGGACAAACCCGAAGCGAGGGTGAGTAGTAACTAATATATAAATAACAATATGATTATATAATGAACTCATGTAAACCATGCAAATAATATTATGCAAACAGTTGTGTCACTGCATGAATGATAGTATAGCCACTCAATGTGGCTAAAGATATGTATACAACTGAACACTATTAAATAATAATGTAAATGGCGATATATCTCTATACATGATTATTTTTACTATATTAATTTTTATTATCGGTATAATAAGTTCACCTTCTTTCATAAAATGGTTGTATTTAAAAGTTTTTATTTGGCAGAAAGGAAATGGGAGGTGAGTTAGCTCACGTAGCTCTCGCAGTGCAAGGCGCTCCCGCTGGATCACCTCAAAGCCTTGCTCTAGCTGTGGCTGCTAAGGGTAAGTAATTTATGTAAAAATAAGTTTTCTTTAATTGAAATAGCTGTTTTCTTTAATTGAAAATGAAACATGTGAAACGTGATTGAACACCAAATTTGATGAGAGCTAATAAGAAAATGATTATTAACTGCTTTCATTTGATGTCTGCTATGGTAGTGGTTGTTATGGTATGGTAATAGCTGTAATGTTAAATGCCACAAATTTTACTTGCAAATATTAGTATTGTGCTATTTTCTTGAACATACTCAAATAAAATTGTGCTATCTCTTTAATTCTGACTAAAAAAATCTAAATAAACACCATTCATACAAAACAAATCAAAATATCAAAATAACAGCATATTTTATACACACAAACATTTTTTTTTTGGTTTAAATAACATAAAAGTGCCTTTAACCAGTTTAAAGTTGCTTTTTCATGAGTTATGCCATAATAAATATATTTCAGACTAAATAGTGACAAGTGTTGAAGGCTCAATTTCTGTACATAATCTAACCTTTTGCTTAAACATGACCACAATATAACCTAATGCTAGACATTATATCTAAATTACTACACAGTAATAATCAAATATATGTTAGTAATAAACAATTATTATTGTATGTTTACAGCTCTTGGTAATGGTCCAGTGACCAAATGGGGAGCAGACAACACCCCTCTGGCCAAGGCTATCGGCAACATTGGACCATTTGCAGCAGCTGGCTTCAATATCTCATACTCTGATTCTGGTCTCTTTGGTATCATACTGTCTGTCCCTAAAGACGAGGCTAACGCTGTAAGTCTCTTTTATATTATAATTTATAAGGTTTTAAGTACCATTTTTATATTGATTCTAATCACGCAAAATGTTACAGTAGTGTAGTAAAATGTAATGTGTCGCAGCTTTAAACTAAATAATTTATGGCTTTGTAGTTTCTCAGGTGTAAGTAAAATTTTGACATTTTAAATAAAACTATCTTATAAAATGATTGCTTTGTTTTAGAATGATATATAGAAAACCTTTTTTCTATTGCTTTTCATGGTAAATTTTAAAAGTAAAAAATATCTATTTCAGGCCGTTAAAGCAGCAGCCAAAGTGCTGACAAGCGCCAACCTTAGCGCTGATGCTATCAAAGCCGGTAAGAACCAACTTAAGTTACAAGTGCTGACTGAAGCAGAAGAAGGCACCGTACTAGCTGAGTCTATCGCATCTCAGGGACTCTACACAGGTGTTGCCAAGTCGCCATTAGACATAGCTAAGGAAATTGACAGTCTGTCCAACAGTGACATCTCACAGGTAAAGCTCTTCGCTATTCAATGTATGAAGGACTATACACATGTTATTATTGTCATTTTCTTTCTTTATATTTCATTTGTTATTTTATAACTATTTACTTTTCAGGCTCTTTCAAATGCAGCAAAGAACAAGGTATCCATGGGTGCAGCAGGAAACCTTGCCTTTGTTCCCTATGTTGATGAACTATAAGCTATTAATAGATATTAATAGATTAGCAGGAAACAAAATTAAACAATTACAATCATGAAATTACTGTTAACATAGCTTATCAGTTTAATATAATTTATTGTTGTATTAAATAAATAAATTGTTAATTTCCAAGTTATTGTATTTTATTTAATGTAAATTGTGCATTTATATAAAAACCTACATTAATATTATAAAGAGATGAAGAGTGTATGTTATGTATGTTCTAAAATTACTGATCCATTTCTGAAAATTCATCCCATAAAGAAAAAATAATGTTTCATTGTTATAAGCGGTTCAATATCACCAGAGAAACAACGTAACGAGCAAAAGCAACTGATTTTGCAACTTTAAAGTCTGATGTTCGCATTAATATCTGATGAGATAGCTTGAAGATTTTGTAGGATTCATTAGAGTGGCAAAAGATTTAGCCCATTTTTTTTTTATTTTTATCGTCGGGAAATGCATTTACGCATACCACCTGATCCCCCAGGTGGTGATGTGGGGCTCACCGGCTAGAAGAGCCGGTACTACCCACTAAAACCCGACATCCCTACCCCCCGCCTTAGTGGGACGCCGCAGGATCGCTTGCGTATAACTACTACGGCGCCCCGGCGGCAGGTCTGCCTAAATACTAGGCAGACCACCAAACCAATGGGGCTGCTCCACAGTCAACTCTGCTACGTCAGAGAGGTACCCGGAGCAGCCCCATAAAACCGAAACACCGCCCACCGAAGTGGGCCACCTCCAATCGGCTGCAGAGGACAGGGAGAACGGCAACGAAACACCGACACTCCTCTTCCCCTGCAGCCCCACCGCGTCCGCCATCAAACGGTGGCGGCCCCGTCTAGGCCGCGGAAGGTAGGGAGAACGGCGCACCGAAATACCGGCACTCCTCTCCCGCCGCGGCCTACCCCTCCGCCGAATGCGGGCCTGCGACCACAGTCCCGCAACCGGCAACCATCATCCGGTTGTGGGACCAAGCGGTCCCACCACCGGTGGCCGCAACATCTTCGGCTCGAGGCCTAGACGAGCGGCCCCATCCAAGCCATTTGGTCTGCGCCGGATTTCTCCGGTACCACCCGCCCCTCTAAGCGGCGGTGGCATGCCCCTATCCGCCACCTGGGGACGCGCCCGGTAGGAGTTGGCTTTTCCCCCGGGAAAAGATTTAGCCCACAAGTGAGCTATAGCAAGCAATAATTAAAGCCTCATGCAATTACGTGACCCGGTCAGGGGGGGGGGGGGGATCTTCAAAATACCACGCTTGGTCATCGGGGGAGAGGGGCCTTAGATATGCGTCACATATAGTCAATAACCTCTAAGGAAATCGCGCGCTTTTAGAGCAATGTCTAATATATTTAAACGAGCAATTCTTGTGTGTGTATATATATAGAGTATACCAGAATCCAGATACCTAGGTACCTAAATTATCAGTATTCAGTTCAGTCAGTCAGAATAGTGTTGTCCATCGATAGTCGACTATCGATAATTGTTCGATAGTGACCGATACTTAGAATATCGATAGTTCTATCGATATTATATATTAGATATTTAAGAAATATTATTTTTTCTTGTTACAGATGTTGTTGTTATGATGTAAATAGAATATTCCCAAAAGGTTTTCAGTAAATTGAAAATGACCCTGTATATCGTTATACTCATTAATTACTGTATTTAAATTTCGTTAACTGTATTAAACAAACCGGAAAACTTTTATTTATACTTTATAGGTTATTTTGTAATTTGTACTGAGAAGTGACTAGTGAGAACGATGAAAGAAGTGGAATTCTCAATTCAGAACTCTGATTTCGGAAGCGAGTGAGACTCTCGACTCGAGGCACAGATACACTACGAGCTACGATCACAGTCACAGATTATAAAATTTTTACTACTACTAGGCTGCATGTACTACTAGTCAAGGAGATATTTTAAGAGAATAGTTTTCGATTTTCGTATCTTTGCGTTCCGTTATTGCGAAGGCTAGTTTTTCAATGATTGGGGTTTTACGTTTTATTTTTATAAATCCATCCATAAAAAAACAATATAAAAAAAAAGAAATGGAATGTGCTTTTAATTTCTCACGATATTTGATATATCGGATAAAATATATCGATATGATTCGATAATATCGGGTTGAAACGATATTTTATGAAATATCGATATTTATAGTGCACTCGTGACTCCTAGTTCTACGTCAAAATCATGGATTTATATATGTAGCAATATACTCTATGATCATGGATGACATTTAACAAATAAAAGTCAAAATTATATGTCTAATGTTTTCTAAACCAACGGTTATTTAGAATTATTATAATTCCATATATACTTGCTAGTAAACCCATTAAATTCAAAACTTAAGGCAACATTGTGGTATAATCCACATGTAAATAAATTTTAAAATGTACTTATCTTCTGTTAGTTCCCGTTTATTACTATACGACACAAACAGTTGGGATTTAAAAAAGACTTATGGATGTTATGATGGTGTACTAAGAGATATATCGTGGAGTGATGATAGTAAATACATTTTACAGGTAATTTTAAAATTACTGTATTTATATCTTTAATATGAAGTTAAGTTATAGTTTTTTCGATACGAGTGAGCGATTACATAAAGTATTCTTGAATAATTTTATACTCAATTAACTTTGAAGGTGTGCCAAGAATACAATTGTTTATATGCGGTGGCCCAAATAAAGTTGCCTTTTTGTAATGAATATATATATATTGATTTTTTAGTGCAATAAAGAATAGTAATATATAGACATGTTTTAGTATATAAGATATAAAGGTATTTATTACAGGTAAATTCATCTGGATTAATTGAAATACTAAGCCCTGCTGACCATGATGTCAGAAGCTTACAACACATTTCAATGAAAGATACTTGGTCTGCTAGCTTTCATAGAGATGGCCACCGTAATGTAGCTGTTGGTACTAAAAGTGGGGGTGTAAAAATTTGGGATACTAAAAATAAAACTATTACTAAAACATTCCCTGCACCATCACAGCCATCATGTGTCAACTTTTTAAGCTACAATGCGAAAAACACAAGCTTAGCTGCATCTATGGTAAATGGAGATACAGTCATATATGGACTTGTGTCTAATATTCCAGTTCTAACTGTAAAACTTACTTATTCTAAAAGCATCTCTGCTATGAAGTTTCATCATGAGTCTAGATCATTATTAGGTTTAGCAACAGATGAAGGCCATATGGTACTGCGAGACATCACAACAAATAAAGATAAAGCATTTTTTGAAAACATTCATGCCTCACCAGTTAGTGACTTTTCATTTTCACTTATTAACAAAGATGTCTTGCTATCGAGTGGTTATGATAAAATTATACAAGTGTATGATATTAGATTGCAAAATGTTGTTTCCACAGTAAGAACAACATACACATTAACATCTCTAGCTATAAATGTCGAGAACCAAGTAGCACTTGGGACTAAAAATGGTTATATTTTAATATATGATTTAAGAGATTTAACAAGTCCATTTAAAGTTCTTAAGGGCCATGAAGAAGAAGTTAGTAAAGTTGCATTCCAACCAGCCCGTCGAAAGACATTATCAAATGAGTTAAGTCTTCGAGAAGATGTTGAAGCAACGTCATTATTAACAGCTCAATCACCTGTTAGGACCAGAACATCAGATATGTTTTTTGTTAATGATACACCACCTAAGCCAAACTTAGACATGTCTGGTTTTGGTCCTGAAAACAAAGCTGATTCTTTTCTTGTTATGTTAGGATTAGACAAATCTAATAATGATTTTGATGAAGATGCAAACAAATCTACTGATTTTGAAAGAAAAAGCGATAAACATGAAATAAGATATCGTCAGTTGGAAGCTGAAAAGAACATAAATAAAATATCAACTCCTCTAAATAGTAGGACAGCTGAGAATCTTGGATTTCCATCACCTTTATGCATACCAAATGGAATTGAAGAAAAGAGAAGTTCAACCAGTAACCTGACTAACATAAAGCAGATGTTTACCAATAATAATCAGGCACCAAATATTGATAATAATGCTGTGGATGAGCTTAAAGATTTCATTAAACTATCTTTATCATACATTGCGGTTGATAACAAAAACTATTTTCTACATATAATGATGAATTTGACTAAACAAAAATTGTTTCTTGAAAAACAGCTAGCTGCTCTGAATCAGCAAGTTCAAACATTAACTCAAAACCAGACTGCCTTAATGGAAGCAAACCGAAAATTAACTTTGCAAGTAGATCAATTAAAACAGAATAATTTTTAGATATTAACTAGTTAAACATTCTTAATCTTAAAATGTTTATCACTTTAATAGCTATGACTATGAATTGTGTCTTAATTATCTAAGCTTTAAAATGATATTGTTTGTATAAAATGATACTTTTTTAATAAATAAATAATACAAATTAAAATTATGATTTGTAATTACATGACTGTTACTATTAAAGTTGAATCTCAATAATATGCATTTTCTAATATTAGACTATTCTAAGATCAATTGTATTTATTGTTCTTGCCAAAACCATTTTAGGTTCTTTCATTTTAGTTCCATTGTTAATTATTATACCCTATAATAAACATTATTATAGAAGATTACTGTTTTATTTAACTATTAAGATTATTGATACATTCAACTAAAGAAATAAAATTAATTCTATAAATAATCTATTTAAGATAATGGATTGCTTTATATAAATTTACTAAAAAGATTAAAATTTGTCTCAATTTTTTTAATAAAGTGAAGTCAATCAAGCCAAATCTTAATAAAGAAATATTTTGATCTTTTAATTTTCAATTATTATGGTATGGTGAGGTAACATGAAATAAATCTTTTAAATGAGGTTTTTAAAGTACATATTTTTTAGAAATATAGTAGTTAGTTTTGGAATCTATGCACAGCTTTCTGCAAGCAAATTAAACTATTAGGGATTTAATAAAATTTATTGCACTTCAGCTTCTGTTAATAGCATATTTGGAATTCCTTTAGTTATAGGAAATTGTCGTCCAGATTCAGGGCAAGTTAAATATCCTTCTTCAACTTCAACTTCTAATAAAACTCTATGGGCCTTTTTCAAGAATTCTTTGTTTTCTTCATAGTTTGGTTCAACTGTTTGTGGTAGACCTTCACTGTGACCTATGCTCTCAGCAGCTCTCCACAGAACTTCCCAATTTAATTTAGGTATTATTCTTGATATGAAGTCGGGATTAAAGTCAACTTCATTAATTTTTACATCTGTAGCGTTTATTGCAAGAGGATAACCTGTAAGAACTCCCTTCAAACATTTGGATGTGAGCATATTATGAGTCATAAGCTTCATTATTTCTTCTAATATTAAAATAAACGTATTAAATTTATCTATCTTTTTAATTTAAATATTTTATCACTATTTAAAAATTATAAATTACCATAGTAATCTAAAATATACAATCAAAACTGTTCAAGTACCCGTCTTCGTGACATTGACAGTTGACATTTTATATGTCATGAGTCATCCATGATTGAGATACAACAGATCACAGGACACAGACGAATAAAATAAAAATCTAATACTTTACGGCTTAAGCCATATAAGAAAAAAACTTCTTCTTCTGATTCTTTCCATTTCGCCGTGCTGACCGCAAAACCACCTCAATTATATGTAGGCTTCGTCTAGGCCATGCGTGTACTCCGGTTCATTTAGCAAAATTAAAAATTAGAAATAGCTCTATTTTTGAATGTGGCTTAGCCGCTTAGATGAGGGTTCCACTGATCATATTCTCTTTAATTGTCCCAAATTGAAATATTCTCTACATGTTATAATCCCCCCTCAAATTCACCGCCCAGTTAACACCAAATGTTTATTAGGCCTTGTATTTAGCACATTTAGTAAAAGACTAGTTAAACTTACAGTAGATAATAATATTAAATTATAATACATATAGCATTATGTATATATTTTTTCATTCTCAATCAATGTGTCATTTTTATATTACGTAATTAATTTTCTATTGTTGTAGGTTACTCTTGTAGACCAATCATTTATTTATAGTTTTAATTCCACAATATAGTTTCCAAATTTCAAAATTACCGCTCAATCTCATTCGTGTCTTCCTCAAAAACGTAACACTGGCAGAATGGATTACGTCTGTTAACGCAACTTTATGCCATTATAAAAAAAACTTTGAATTCGATATTTTAGGTTTTCTAGATTATTTAAAAAAAAGATTATAAAGAGCTACCTACAAAAAAGATTAATATTATCAAGAACGACCAAGGTATGTTAATTGTTGTTAATAATCGATAACCTACACAGCACGCAGCTAAAATACGATTTTATTAGGAGAATATTTAATATTATTGTGTCATTATAAAACAAGATAATTCTAACATATTGGGCGATAAAGATTTTTAATTTATGCCCATTCACTCAATTAAAATTGTTTTTGATAGAAACATAACAATAGTCACACGATTCATATATTTTTTATATATTTTTATAACTGCCTCGATGGTATAGTGGCTAGCATGTACGACTGCACACCCGGAGGTCCTGGGTTCGAGTCCCGGGTCGGGCCAAGTTTAGTTATTGAGTCTTTCTGTAAAGTAAGCCTTAGTAACAGCCTGGAGTTGGGAAGTTGGCGGTGTTTCAACTACAACGTCCACGTCAGACAGCTTGTCTGTCCGGAACACAGTAATGAAATCCCAAGCGTGTAAAATGTAAATAGCATTCAACTTCCAAGCGCTTGTAAAGGCTTGGAGCTTGTAGACGTTTGCCAAGTCTCGGCAAAGGTATAAATGTAGCATTAGGTTGTTCCTGGTCTATGATTGTAATTTCAGTTGACTGTAGTGTCATCTAAAAAGGGTTACATACTCTATGGTGTCACCTCATCAGCTGTATTCTGGTATCTGTAATCTGTAGTCTCCGATCTCCGTAATCTGTGCTGTCATCTGTTAACCAGGTTGATCCTTTTCTTTATTTTAATTTTTAAAAGAACGTAAGCGTAAACGTGTAACATAAATATCAATATTAGGATATCTTTTTTTTTTCTAATATATTTGTTACAGTTTGTTAAAAGACGAACATAATGTCTCAAGATGGATTTTCTGAAAGAAATATTGAAATCAATAAACCATCTACATCACAACCATCAGAGTTGCAAGGAATAGATTCGGTGCATTCTTGTCACAGTAGAACAACAAAATCGCATCCAGAAATTGTGTCAACATCCAATAACTTGAGTCAAGATGGTATTAATGAAAATTCTACAGCAGTGTTTAATAATTACCAAATGACTAATTTGTCAGAACAATATCAAAACATAAATATAAATAATGATAATGACAACTTAAACTCCACTTCCAATACACCTAAAAAAAAGAATGCAAGGAAAAAAGAAAGGTTAAAAAAGTTACATATAGAAATGCCTAATGACAACCAAAGGCAACCTGAGGCAATCCAAACTGCACCTGCAGGCCCTGTACATAATGGTATAGCTCCTGTACATGATTTTTTCTTAAAACAAATTACACCTTTGTATGCCAGTACAAGTTCAAGATACTTAGAAAATCTTACTCATCACCCACAATTTCATTTAATGCAAAATATACATTTCAGTGAAATGTTTCAAAACCATCAGACAGCTGCAAGTTTACCAAGTACTCCATTTCTACAGCAACCTCACTTTTTAAATCCTCAAAAAAATTTCCAAAATGTGGCATTATTGCATCAACATACACCACCAAAATTTTTGCAGAATGTTTTACAACATCCACTTTTGAGTAAAAATTTTGTACATACAAATCATCACAATTTTCATCAGGCATCACCTGGTTTTTATCCTGTTAAAAAAAGCTTAACATTTGTTAACTCACAAAGTGATGATGCAAATTCTTCGCCAAGACGTAGAAATAGACAAAAAAATAAGGACATCACTGATACTGAAGAGAGACAATTTAATTTTTATATGTCAAAAGAAGAAGTAGAAAAAGGGATACAAAATAATATATTATTAGAAGGTGTTCTAAGGATAAATCCTAAACAATTTCAACTTTCGTATGTTTCTAGCAATGACAGAAGTGAGCAAGACGTGCTCATAGATGGAATTAAAAACAGAAATCGTGCTTTAGAAGGTGATGTTGTTGTTGTACAATATGTTGAAAGTGATGAAGAAGAAAGTACTGCGACAAATGGTGAAGATAAACAAAAGAAAGGCAAAGTAGTGTACATTAAAGAAAAGGTTCATACTAGAACATGTATTGGAATTTTAAAACTGATGGCAGACAGGAATAGACAAAAGGCTCTGTTTATACCAAGAGATCATAGAATACCCAGACTTAATATACCATTTACAAATTGGCCTGATAACTTTTATAAAAATGCTAAAAGTTATGCAAATACATTGTTTTTGGCAAAAATTGAAGAATGGAGTGATGTGAGATTTGCTGTGGGAAAAATATTGTGTAATATTGGACAGTCAGGTGATATGGAATCTGAGACAAAAGCTATTCTTGCCCAAACTGATTTAGATATAACACCATTTGGGCCAGAAGTTACGCATTTATTTCCACGTTTAGATTACATCATCCCCGAAGAAGAAATTAAATTACGTGAAGACTGCAGAAAAATGTGCATTTTTAGTATAGATCCATTTAATTGTCGTGATATAGATGATGCTGTTTCTTGTGAAATACTGGAAAATGGCAACTATGAAATTGGAGTCCATATATCAGATGTAGCACATTTTTTGACAGAGAATACTATTCTTGATGAGAAAGTAGCTGAAAAAGCGACTACTATTTATATGGTTGAGAGAGCGTATCATATGCTACCTGATGATTTATGTATGCTGTGTTCACTTTTCCCAGGGGTTGACAAATTAGCATTCTCAGTTTTCTGGGAAATTACAGAAGATGCTATTGTTATAAAACATAGATTTGCTAAAACAGTCATACAATCTTGCTGCCAACTAGCTTACGACCATGCACAAGCAGTTCTTGATAATATTGAAGATGCTGAAACTACTTTCCCAGAATTTTATAATGGCTTTAATTTTAAAGATGTTCAACAAAGAATAAAAATATTAGGTAAACTATCTGCTATTTTAAGAAAAAGGAGATTTGAAGGTGGAGCTTTGCGCTTAGATCAACCAAAAGTGTCATTCCATTTAAGTCCAACAAATGGATTGCCAGAATCTTTTTGGATCTATGAAAGTAAAGAAAGCCATCAGCTTATAGAAGAGTTTATGCTTTTATCAAATATGACTGTAGCTCAAAGAATACATGACGATCACCCACAGCTTGCTTTTCTAAGGTGTCATCCATCACCAAGCCTTTACATGCTTAAACAACTAGCAAAATCTTTAAAACCTATAGGAATTAACTTAGAAATTGAATCTGCTGGGGAATTATATAAATCTTTATTACCCTATATTGGACCTGAAAGTACAGATAGAGGAAAAGTTATGGTTCTCAACATGTTATGTGCTAAGCCGATGACAAGAGCAAAATACTTTTGTATTGGTGGTCCAGAAGAAGATCATAATCATTATGCCTTGAATATCCCTTTATATACACATTTTACCAGTCCTATAAGACGTTATGCAGATATAATGGTCCACAGGTATTTATTTCATATTATAATCCAATAGCAAAATCTTATTCTTGATTTTGCAACATTCACTTATATCATTATTTAAATTATGTACTAATTGGTACTTTTTCAGATTACTAGCTGCTAGTCTGAAATATCGGGAAATGCCTAAATGGGAAGTAGACAAAGTATGCATGATTGCTGCACAATGTAATAAGCAAAAGTATAACGCTAAAAAGGCAGGGGAGCTCTCAACAGAATTGTATACATTGAAATATATTGAACTAAATTCACCAGTTATTAGTGAAGCTGTTGTAGTTGAAGTTAGAGAAAAATACATTGATGTTATTATTGTTTCAATGGGATTGAATAGAAGAATATTTTTCAATAATGTAAGCTTTTTGTATTGTTTTTAATCCATATTATATATACCACCCAATTATATTTTTAATTGATTTTTTACATGCAAATATTATTATTTTTACATATATAATTTTAAAATATAAATTTAGAGTAATAAGTAAATTAATTCTTATTTTTATTATTTATATATCAGTTAATAGATCTAAAACAAAATTTATTGTGCAATATTTTGTCATTGAATACAACAAAGTTAGTAAATACATTTTTTTTCAAGTATTCTGTATAAATGATGTAATATTTTTAAACATTGTTAAACATTGTCTAAATCTTTTTTCTTAGTGTTAGTAAATGTAATGCTACTTGCATTAGATTTCATCATATTGCAGAATGATTGATGAATGAATTTTAAAAAGACACTTCAAAATTGTTTTAAAATTGATCAACAAAATGGCACAATTATTGTTTCAGGATTTTCCAGGGGAATACCAGTGCATAAAAAATGATGCAGGTGATAAACTGTCTAAAATGAAAGTGACATGGAAGAAAACTGATAATTTGCTATCTGTGGAACAAATAATTGAAGTTTTCTCAATATTGCAAGTTGAAATGCACAAAGGAGATGATATGGTGAAAGTAGAGACAAAGCTTGTACGGCCGCAATAGACAGCTTAGTAATTATTACTATTGCATAACTTTTATATTTTACATGATTTTTTATATTTTTCGATTTATAATTGACAAGTTTATAACAAAACATTGTTTTGTGTTAAAATTATAAGATTATGGAGCTATAATAATAAAATACATAATTTGGTAATAACTAAGATAAATAACTCAATGAATTTTTTTACATAATAAGATAATATGCATTTGACATAAATAACACTTATATTTTTACATCAGAAACACAAATTAAAATTAATAATAATAAAGCACAAGTTTTTATTTAGACTTAAAATGTTTTATATTAACTTACAAATGGTACATATTTCAGTTCATAAGATAAAATGTAGGGCTTAAAATAGAATAATACATTTTAAATTGTACATGATTGTAAGATCTCAGTAGTTTTATCCACATTTAGAATAAAATATTTTTTATATTATGAATTCTTGTGTAGTTACTCAGTAAGCATATCAGCTTTGTGAATTATTTTACCACTTCTGTATTTAAGTATTAAGATCTATTAAGTATCTTTTTTATTTGATAGATTTTAATATATTTTATTGTATTCAATTCTAATAAAAATAAAAACATTGTAAAAAATCTTTCCTACTACAATTATTTTTTATAATTTAAATAAAACTTTGAGACATTGTAACATTGTGTTGTGTATGTTTGTATTTCTTTATTGTTAAATAAAATAAGTCTAGACTTATTTCTTATCTATGACTATCTATGGTTCTAAATTAGGAAAATTTTACTGTCGACATTTTTTATTTATTTATTGATAAATGTTTTTGATATATCAAGTCCTAAGTCTATTGTAAGTTGATATGTGCGATTAAAATAGAGACTTGCAATGTGGTAGCAAATAAATGATTTTAAATAAGTATAATAATTTATTTGGGTGTCCTGCTTGTTCACTGAAGGCAATAAATACGTCATCATATATTTATTATTTTAAGATTTGTACCTACGAAATGGCGCACAAACCAGGCCGTCGGTGCAAGAACAGCATAACCCATATTTTTTTGTTTTCGACTTAAATACTACAGAGTATTCTAAATACGTTAAAGTCAAAACTAAAGACCTGGGTGCAGTTTTACTTATAAGAAAAAAAAACATGTGTGTGTACTTAAACTTATGTAGTGTTACAAGGATTGAAGGACCATTTGGCACGCGGCTAAAATCAGAACTAACACCGCCATCTTGTAAAGCGTCAGTTTTGAGAGAATTTGGGAGTTGATGTTTGTTGTGGATATTTCGTGCTTTTATTTCAATAAAAATATCTCGAAATATGAGGCGGTGTATGAGAAGTTAGGAGACTTTTAAAAAAAAGAAAAACCCTTTCACACACGCCCTCATGTCAATGTCACCTAAGTGCCAAATGATCGAAAGCACTAAAAAATAAATATTTCTTACATTATTACAGTTATTAATAATTTATTTATGTATTTGTTTTATATAATATCTCGAAAATTAAAAGAAACTCACAATAAGTAGGTACAAAGGAAGAATTACATATTTATAAAAAATATCTTAATTTTTGTAATGAGTCGCTAGGACTCACCCTCGCTTCGCTCGGGTTTATCCCTAGCTAAATCTCTAGTTAAATTAGGTTGGTGCCCCGGTAGTAAGTGGATACTTTTTGAAGAAAGTGCTAAAAGTATTATTATAAGTGCAAAAAATAAAACAACTCTTTATACGTTTATATTGTTACTTGTCATCCATGGTTTTATATCACCACAGTTTTTTTGGTTATATTTTCTAAATAATTTTGGATTACGTAAATAGTTTCAATAACTTACTCAAGTCACTCAAAATATTAAATTTTTCAATTTAACACACTTCACTTTGTTTATAATTACTAATTCATATCATACCCTCTTGCCATGCGAGCGCCATTCTGGGTTTTTGAACTGTTATTTACCGCTTGCAATTTGCTTTTCAACTTGTCAGTTGTCTCCCATAGGCCATAACAGATGGTTCCCCTTGGCCCTTACCTGTACCGTCCTCCAAATTAAAAGTTAAATGAATGTGCCGAATGTACTTTTTATTATTATTATATGAAACATGAATTAATGACCTAAAAAAAACGATTTTTGGGTATTCAGCTCATCATCTCATGGTTGGCGCCGGCAGGATAAACCGGGTATTTTGAGGTTATTGCCTATTGGTCGGGTAAATCCACGACTGGTATGTGGCAGCCCTGTACTTATGTCTGTTGAGTAGGTAATGAGTATTTTCAATAGGTAGGTATAAACTATAAAATTCTAATAGGATAAATGTAAAATATCAAAATTACAACAAACAAACAAGATAAGTAATGTTACCGTTTTAATATTATCATACGATAATTGTATTGTTAATTTAGCTTTATTCATCACTAGCAAAATATAATAAGAAATTCAAATTATATCAGTTAGTGTAGTGTTGAAAATTTATTATAAATGTTCATTTTCAAAAATGAATATGTTTCAAGATCTATTGCTAAAAAAAGACTGCAGTTCTGCATCTCAATTCTTCGATCGCTTGCATACTCATTTTTGTAATAAACCTAAGAAAATTTTGGATACTAACAATCTGGAGTTAATAGATGAGGAATTAATTGAGGAAATAAAGAGTTTGTCATTAGATCTATCTATATGTTTTGGTAAATCTCTTCGAGACTTAAAGTGCTCTATAATGGATGAAGAAAATTTAAGAACTCATGATATTTTTTTGAAGTACAAAAGTCATCGAAAAATTATGGTATCTAATGTAAATCTACCATATTCACAATTACAAGATCGCGAATATTCATCTGTTGACGAAGTAGTAACAGTATTTATTCATTACATAAAGAGTTTAGGTGCCTATTTTAATGAATTGGAAAGTATTGACCGTCTCTTCAAGGTAATGGAACCAGTTAGACCAACTTTCAAAGATGACTATCGAAGAATTTCACTTGGTTTGGTATTGTTTTTATTGATTCATGATTTGCAAAACCGTCATAAAATATCTAATACTCCAAAAGTTATTTGCAGATGAAAGAGTATGGTTGCATATTGAAATAACTAGTAATGGCTTAGCTGCAAATGTTCACTTAGTTGGGCAATCAGAAGAGTGGCATGATAAACTACAGGATAGACTGCTATCTTGGGACCATGATAAGGAAATAGTAGAAAATATAATGACTATATTTGGTAAGTTATTTCTTACTCAAAATATATAGTTTTTGGTTTGTATTTAATTTTTATTGTAAATATTCAAATAACAATTCCTTTAAAAGGTATATTTGCCTCACTGTACAAATCTTATAAACTAGCACTGCCATTTTGAAGTTTTTTTTTTGATTAGGTAATAGATATATAGTAATCAGATGGGTGATTAAATTTATTTTATATGTCACCTTTTGTTGCAGATAAATTTTATTTTTGTCATAGTCATATGTAATATGCATTCATCTTTTATTGCAGATTTAATGAAAAAATCACATCCTTTAAAAGTAATTGAAATGAACACAGATGCAATTGATAAAAAAGAAGTGGAAGCTCCTTCATGTGGTATATGTTTTTGTGTAGAGTTGCCTGACAATCCAGGAGTTCCACAACCATTGTGCCAAAATACCAAATGTGGTGTCTACTTTCATAAAAGCTGCTTATTTCAGGTATGTTTAATAGTAGTTCTAATTTAAGATCTAGAAAATATAGTTATCCATACATAAGTAGGGCTTCAGTATGACCTGTACTTAACCTCTTTTTTATTTAATATATAGTTATAAAGAACAATGAAATAATACTATTAATCATTACACTTTATTATTATATACTATTTTTAATTTTATACAAATAAAATTGGTAAAGATATTTTGATTTTTGCTACTTAACCATTCATAAAACCAGCATTGTCATTAGATGAAATTTGGTTCACAGATTTTTTCATGCAATATGGGCACACATTTTAATAAGTAATTGATCAATTTATAAAGTAATAGATGACTCTGTTCATCTAGGGAATAAAATTTATACTAAAGGCCTTCCAGTTACTTCAATATTGTGCCTGTTTTAAGAAACAAGTTGACAGACAAAATAATAATAATTTAACTTAATTTATTTTGGGAAATATTGTGAAATTTTGCCCTGGTGTTTTTATATTAATTACTACTTTCTGTTATCATTGTCTCATCAGAAACAAGGAAATATTAGTTCAACTAAATTCCAATAGATGGCATTATGCATGCTTGTAGCAGTATGTATCAATTTTATTTTTGATATTGATGTTAATGTTAAATTAATAAGTGAAAATATCAATATCAAAAAATAAAATCTGGTTTTAACTGAAGTAAAATGAAATAATGAACTCTTAAGTCAAACTTTTCCTATGTCTAAATTCAATTTAAGTTGTACACTGCTTTGTTTTATAAGATATCATAAATATAGTTAAATTCATTTTGCATTAATTAAAACAAATTTTAAAGACTCCCTTTTTTGCCTTAGTAAAGCCATGTATTTCACTATAATATGTATACATATAAAACATTATAAAATTTGGTCAACTCATCACCCTATTTAAACAAACAAAAAACTCGCATTAAAGACATCCAATTTCTTTGTATGGGATGTATGTACTATAACTTGTGTATTTAATTATAGTTTTCTAATTTCTAATGGAGTGATTCTCTTTCATGATGATTATGAATTTCTAAATTATTTTCAGTGGCTGGTCGCGTGTGAAGGAGGTCGCATACCAGCTTTTGGTGTTGCAAATGGCAGTTGCCCCACCTGTCTTCAGCCAATTACATGTAGTGAAAAAGATAGTTGAAAAGTTAAGAATAATAACTTGTTAGTAATTTTAATGTATATCATTATAGATATTGTAATAAAAATTTACACAAGATTTTACTGTTTTTTTTAAATCACATAGGGAGAATGAGATGCTTGTTAGTTATCAAAATGAACTTCTTAGAACTTGAACCCAGGATTTGCGGTTTAATGACGCAAGACGCGTGGACAATAGTTGTTTAATCTTATAAGTTTTCTACCCTAAATTTAAAAATTTTGTGCTGCCAAAACAATGACACTAATTTTAAATTAAAGCAAAAGTTGGCTTCTTTTAATGAATCACTTAAAATTAGAATTACATGTGTCGAAGAAGTACAAGAACTGTAAATATATAATTGCCATCAATGGCGATTAATACAAGTGTGAACTCATATTGTAAAAATTTTCATATCATTGAGCCTTAAATCAAGTGATGAAGAATTTTGATTTTTTTCTCCCGCCAGATGTCGCGACAACTATAATCCACTGAGGATTGTTGAGCTATATATCGTGATGTTTTTTTTTTGTATTATTTAAAATTTAATTAAAATGACAAATTATACATTGCCAGGATGCAAAGAAAATGAATATCATTTGTTTCCAAAAGATAAAAATTGTAGAAATTGTAGGCTAAAGCAATAAGACGACCAAAGTTGGCGAAATCACAATTTTTATATTTAACATCAGACTGAATGTAAATAGATCACGTGTAGCGCGCTCCTTTCAAGAAATCGTCCCCGTTGTAGTCCAGTACTTGAGTAAAATAAAAATAACATTGTTTTAATTTTTTTTATATTATTAAAAATTACGTAGACATAATATTTTGTGGTTACATAGAATAATTCTGTATAAACAATGTTGCGAATAGTATTTGCACCAACGTTTTGTGGTAGCCAGCAAAATGTTTAACTCAGAACCATCAGCATTGTGAGGGCATATTGCTGAAATCACATAGTCCTACTTGTGTAATTTTATTTGAACAAAAAAAGCAGATATGAAACGGTATACAAAATCATTCTGTAAATAAAAAAGGCAGAATTCACATGACAAAATAAATGAACATTGGTCAACTGAGAGCATCACTTACAAAATTAATATTAAGTTTATTACAACTAGTATTTAATGTACAAATCATTTAGATTGCCATGTAAAAATTTAAGGTGTTGACTATCTTTTAAAGTAATTCATCACAAGGGTACAGTTTCGAAAGTGCGAGTTGTGAGGCTGGTGCTAGAACCAGGGGCCTCTCCACTTTGCGGCCCGGCTTCACGTCCAACATTCTGAAACATATATAATATCAATTAGTTATAAATTATGACTTACCTTACAAATACATCAATACATAATGTTAGAAAAATATTACATTAAGTAGAAATATTAATATGAACTTCTTTTTTCAAATCTCTAGCTAAGCCTTTGGATTTGGCCATTTTTATTAAAAACTAGCATTGCCCGCGGCTCCGCCCGCGTTCATATGACCAAAAACTAAATTATTAGGTGTTACATATTAGTATATTCTTACATTGCAGTTTTTATATTTTTTCTCAGAAATGAGATATTTTCCTGCGGTAAAAAGTATCCTATATGTTGACCCGGATAACCAGCTATCATACCAAATTCCATTAAAATCTGTCCAGTGATTTTCTCACAATGCATCCCACACAGACAAAAATTCTAAAAACTATAGATTTGGCCTCTATCGATAATAACGATGTTTATAATATTTTCAAAAAAAATATTTTATTTTATTTGTACAGATTCAACATATTTTATTATATGTCAAATAGTTTACATATACTTTACTGATGGAATTTAAGTTACCATGCATCATATAATATATTTCTATCAATATTCTCGATTGAACTATTTGTGAATCATTCATTTTTATTATAACTAGTGTATATGTTTCCAATATTTTTTGACCTTTGACTATGATTATGAATTTAAATTAACAATCTATATTTACAAACATAAAATATATTATGCTATGTTTGTATAGGCATTGTAAACAAATTGTAAAACCCCTGGACAAATTGAGTTGAAACTTAGGGTAAGTTACTATGTACATGACACAAACTTAGTGTATTAGATGGTTTTTCAACATAATCATTCAATATATAATATAACTAGCATCTAACCCTCGCTTTGCTCGGCTTCATCCTTATGTACATATATAGTTTTTGTTTATTTTAACATTTTAATTTCAGGAACTAGTAATACAATTTGAAAAATTCATTTTGCGTTAGATAGCCCATTCATTGAGGAAGGCTATAGGCTTGTATATACATATATATATATATATATATATACATACATATATGCTTTTTAAAGTTAAATTATAAATACCTTAACATGTATTTGATTTTTGAGCATAGCAGCACGTAGAATTAACATAGAGGTCCGCCGCTGATATTCCTTCCCCATTGCTAGACTTCTTTCAAAAGTAGTACTCCTTTGGTCCACATCTTTAGCATATAGTATTTTATTATGTGAATCAATGCGTGCTTGAATTTGTCCATCAAGTATTAATTGCATTAGTTCATCTTCCAGAGCATTCACCGTACAATTAAATGCGGCAGCCATGAGACGCATATCAGCTGAGAGATAGGGACTGAAGTACTGAATTAATGCTCTGTTGCGTATTTGCATGTACAAAGAATTCAAGTGTGGTGCTAAATACATATCTAATAGTAGATTGTCTCGAATCTCATCCAGTAACCTTAAGCAAGAAGCATATTTAGATTCATAAAATTTAAAAATTATGTCTCGTAACTGTGGTTCTAGTTCTAAGAATAATTTAAAAGAACTGCTAACTATTACTTGCTTTTGAAGCTCAGACCTATCAAATGTTGCCAATGCACAGAGACCTCCATAGACTGCAACGTTATTGCTACTGAGCAGTTCTGGGTAGTCACAGTGGTCAATGCTAGCAGCTAAGAAATGTTTTGCAGCAGATTTATATTTTTTAGTTGCAAGCTCAGCTAGACCAGCGGCACATTTTAAACGGGTCAGTATGGCTTGATTTGAGTCTTTTCCTGAGGCTTCATTGAAATCTGGAGTTCCTTCTGCTTTAGATACAAAATTCAGAACATGAGACCAATTTTGTAAATACACTGAAACTTTAACTACATTCAGGCACATCATTATTATATGCTTGCCACTTGTGCAGTAGTCTCGAGCTCTAGAGTAACATTTCAAAGCACTAGTAAGATCACCACAATCTAGATAGTGATCTCCTAAATCATCGTGTCCCCTTCTAATGCTTTCTTTTATGGAGTTAGTTTTGTAATTTTTAAGATCAGTATCTAATTTTTCCAGTTTTATGGCAGCTTTCTTGGTTTTTGATTCCACCCACATGGAGTCCAGAACTGGTATATCTTGTGAACCCATTTGTACAGCAACATCAGGCAGTCCTGCTGTAGCTATGGCTTCAGCTAGTTTTTTATGGAGTGATTGGTAAAGGCTTACATTATATGTGGTCATAACATAAGATATAGCCATTTTGAGTGCTTCTAATCTTAGTGATGGACAATGATCTGCTACAAACATTAATCTGTATAACCTAGCAAAGCCAGTATATGATGCAGCATAAGTTTCTAAGTCTAAGGTAGGATTTTCAACCACATAACACTCTGCCTCATTGTTTTCATTATCTTCAAGTGGAACATCCACTTGCATTGGTTCCGCCGTATGCTAAAAGAAAGAACATATTTAGTGGAATAGATATCTTCCTTTATCTTGAATCCAATTTTATTGCAATAAATAATACAAATATACAAGATGAAGTGTTATTCTTACCATTTCGATCATTTTATAAGTATAAACTTGAGTTATAAAAGAAAATACGCGAATTCCCTTGTCAACGCAGGAAACCAACCTAGAACACAACGTATTTATTGTTCACGTGCTTTTAAATAATGTTCATTGTCTTCTTTATTATATATCACTTTATTTACACTTTCATTAAAACAAATGTACCGAGATTAATTATAATCAAAATACCTTTATCATTACGTTTCTTTTTTGCAGCGGCATTTTTCTTTTTTGACTATGAAATTAAAGTGTTGCCAAGCTCAAAATATACAGAAAAAATATAGTTTTTATTGTAATAAAATAATAGTGCTAAGGAATTTTATACAAATCTGACAACTATTATATTATTTGCAAAAGTTTGTGTGTATATATTGTTGTTAGTCCTTCATACTAAAATGGCTGGGTAGATTTAGATGAAATTTAATTTTCAGATAGACCTGAAGTAACCCATAGGCACTGTTGAGCATCAAGCATGCAGGATGCATTCCAGCGAAGCGACGGCAAGTCGCTTGTATATTTAAAAAAGTTCAAATTTACGTTAAAAATATGTCATATTCAAATCAAATCAAATATTTTTTATTGCACACCAAACAATTTACATGACATATATATATATTAAACAAGACAGGCGGCCTTATCGATAAGTGAGCGATCTCTTCCAGGCAATCTTAGTGTAGTGTAATTATTGCAATTTAAATATATTAATTGTATGGTAAAATTTAAAGGTCAAATTGAAATTTTGGTTAAGATTATGGAGATAAACACAATTAAAATTAACAAACAATGTTTAATAGAGATGGGATGGCATTGTAACATACGGTCTATAATGAAACAAGCCGAGAAAGACTAAGAAAGTTGAAAAGTTTACCTAAAGACTACAGTATCTCAAAAGTAGATTTTATCCCATTGGAAGGGAATGCTTGCATGTATAAGATAAAGTTCTTAAGTAGCAGTACATAGTACTGCTACTTAACTGTTCCCTTAGATCTTTTAAACTACTCAACGGATTTTAATGCAGTTTTTAGCAATAGATAGAGTGATTCAAGAGGAAGGTTTATATGTATAATACATGCATATTATAGAACAGAAAAGCCGAGAAGTTCAAAGATTTGTATTTCATACTAACCGTTAAAATGTACCTAGAAACGAACCCGAACAAAGCGAGTCGCTAGTTTGTTATAAGGAAAGAACCAATGCAGCATTTATTCACTCCTAGTTATTAGACAAATAAATTGAGCTTAACTGGTACCTATGACTAAATGCAATAGAATACTGATTGAATTGGAAAGTACTTTATATAAGTAGGTACATTTTGAGTAGATGTGTTTTTATTATCTTGAAGTAACCCTTAGCCTTAGAAAGATTAATTTTTATAGTGATTATATGCTTTTTGTATTTGGTATATCATAATTCCTTATTGGAGGCTTTACATTTTACCTGAAGGATATGGTAGGAGGGATTTATATGTAGGTAGTGCCACTATCATGATTAGGTAAGTATTTATTTTATTTTTTGAGGCTGATTTTTTTATAGTAAAAGAAAATATTATAAGGAAAGGCTACTTTCTCTGGAAGAACCAATCCGTATTTGGCTAGAATAACTGATATTCCCTCCACGACCGCGGACACGCCGGCGTGTCAGTTAACAATACATTTCTTAGAATTTAAATTAAATTCTTAGAAATTTACCTGGAGGTGTTAAAGGACTAATCTTTTTTTGTATTCACGAGAGGCCCATGCCCAGTAGTTTGACATTTATAACTTATTAAGTGTATAGATAGTTTTTGAATGATTTAAATAGATCCCACTATACATTCATTATTTCTACGATCACTATAATACTCGTTGGTAAATAGATCGATTTTATATTAACTAGGAATGGATTTCTTTTTGCTGAACATTGCGGCAGATATGGAAACTAAGATCAAATTCATTGTTTTACATAGATCGAAGCAGATTTATATATGTAATGTAATTTTCTCTACAGATTTTTAGGAACAACAATATTGGTTCTTTTTACGCATGCGCAATTTCTGTCAATTGTTGTTGATAATGGCACTAGTGAATTTCAAGTATTTTGAGATAATGAGTTTCATATTCAATAATGCGTGGATCGTCACCGTACGTAATTTTTATAAAGTATACCTATAAAATAATAAATAGTTGCCGCAGCATACTATTGTATTTAAATCTTATGGCAGAGTTGAGTGACGATGGTATGTAATATGTGTATTTATTTTTATTTTCGCCACATTAAATTCAAACAACATAAATGTAGTCATATCCTTCAGAGTTAATCATTTATAGATAATAATGTGTATACATCCATGGATGCGTTAAAATGCAATAAGTGATGATTATAATTTTATTATCACTAATTACGTAATAATATAGGCATCTATTTATAGTAGTTAGATTCAGTTGCGATAGCTATAAAAAAGCAATGTATTCAGCCCTTATTTTAACGTCCTACTGCTGGGCACGGGCCTCCCTTCAATACGAGGGGAATCAGGCCATAGTCCACCACGCTGGCCAAGTGCAGGTTGGCGGACTTCACATGTCTTTTGAAAACTTGCTAGGTTCTCTCAGACATGCAGGTTTCCTCACGATGTTTTTCCTTCACCGTTAAGAAAAAGGATATCATAAGAAAATGAATTAATTATACATTATGCTGTAGTTCTGAACGTTCATAGATTTGCTTGCTTTTCCTTACAAAATCAAATATGAAAGAGTCTCCATATTATATTATACATATATATAGAAGGACAAATTTTACTATGGACATAGCCCACTAAATTTCCAAGCTGAAGTGGCTGTAGGCAGAGCACGTCGTTCATGGGTTCATATTCTTTTCTCGGGAAGAGTTCTCTCGAGTTTCAGCCACGGAAACTCGACTAAGTCCGCTGCAAGGCAAACCGGTGGAGTTATGGTCGGAGGAAACACATCATCCAGCAGATGGCATAAGACCGCTTAGTGTGGGAAACTTTTGGGTAGGCATAGATTGAACGTGTATTTCAGTTATTTTAATGATGATGATATGAGATTTTTTCACAAATATTGCTTTTTAGTATACGCTACTTGGGGTGAAAATTTCTGTTATTTTACTCCTTTCACTACTAACCTATTAAGACTGCTACATTTAAACTCATTTTGAAGTGCAGGGCTACTTTTCGGCTACGTATTCAACAATTTAATTTCTCGTCTTTTTATTTCTTGTTCAAAAAAAAAGTTTATCTATCTAGGCTCTAGAAAAATCGGCATATCATATCTCACGTTTCATGTCCGTCATATTCGTTTCTTGAAACCTGTTCAACAATCTTTTCGAAATAAATTTTTCTGCACCATCCAGTTTAGTTGTCGGCTCTACAATTGACTCTACAAATGAAACTGAACAACTGGTTAACTAATAAACTGATCATAATAATTAGGTAAAATTATATAGGTATCTTTACCTTTCTTTAAATATGATTTATTTGAGTTTGTTTATCATGCGAAATACATCTTAAAGTTAGAACTGTTTCCGAGATACACGAAAAAAATTATGTACATATGTATATACAAGAATTGCTTATTTAATATTGTAAGATATACCGAACCGTTAATTATAAGTTTACAGGGTTGCTCATATCTATGTTTAAATATTTAAGGATATTTAATATTTGACCCTTATTTATGTGACAAAAACAATAACTTCATCAGAGTGACGAGGTCCCGGGTACCTTCATACAGTTTATAGGTAATGTAAACCATCAAGTTCTGCTTTTACATTACACTTACTTTGATAAAATTATTATTATTTTAGTGTAGCTAAGCGGCCGAATAAAGCGGTGGAGAGATGGAGTGGGGTACGCGGTTATCGGCGCACAAGAATCATTCAATGCGACATGCTGGTTGATGACCGTATACGTTTTTCTTTTATGAGTTTAGTTGTTATTTTGTGAGCTTATAATTATTTCATTATGAATATTGGATCGAGTACTTCTAAGCCCATATCACGCGTTCAAAGATATGATTTGACAAATTTATCGGCGATGCAGTCTTCTAATGATGAAGGTGAGTTTGTTGCATCTGATAATGAACATGATTATATTCCTTTGGTTGACGAGGGCAGATTGGAAGTTTCTGATGTGTAACCAGAAACTTCCAATCTGCCCTCGACGATGCAGACGATGATAGTTTTGAAGGGGAATTATCTAAAAATGTTCTTATAGCAAAAGATGGAACTCAGTGGCAGCTTGATCCACTTCGAAGTACACAAACTAGTCGTCGAAACATTATTCTTCAACAGGGCGGAGCTGCATTTTCAGTAAACTTAATTGGAAAGTTCTAATGCAAATATTCAAAAATATCTTGTCCAATGAAATGTGCGATATAATTTTGCGAGAAACTAATCAATAAGGTAGTAAGATTACTGAAGCATACAATAATATATAAACTGATGGATAATTACCCTAATATTAGCAAGCGGCCTAAAGAAAAAATATTCAAACCATTTACAGAAAAAGAATTGGATGCATTTTTTGGCAATATAATTTGTAGTGGAGTACATAGATCTACTAGAGACTTTGACTGAATTGTAGAACCCACCTGACCTGGTCACTTACCATTATTTTGAGCTGCAATGTCCCATGTAGATTCAAATTGTTGTTACGCTTCATAATGTTTGATAATGATGTTACATGTCTGAGCGTTTGTCAGCTGATAAAGCAGCCACTATATGAGGTATTTGGACAATGTTCATTTCAAATTTGAATAAAAGTTATAAGCCAAGCTGTATAGCTGATATGGGTACCGTAGGCGAACTCGCTTTACTCACTACATGCCATCTAAACCTGAAAAATATTTCATTAAAATATTCTGGACTTTGATGCATATCATTCCTACACCCTAAATGGAAAAATATATACTGGAAAATGAAGTAATGGCAATCGTCAAACTAATGTCGACGAAGCACTGTATTAGATCTCGTATCCAAATATAAAAATTCTGGGTAGGATGTAACAACAGATTATTTTATTACGTCACTTCAACTTGCTTATTTCTTGAATTCGTGGAACATGACAATGATCAATTGTGGCTTAAATAATTAATATATTATGATTTTTTCTTTATGGTTATAAATATAATAATGGCAACACTAAAAATGTAGATTAATAATTAATATTTTTAAAAATTGTAATAATTATAATAATAACAGCTCAAATTAAATAAATAATATTCTATATTTAATTATAAAGCTAATTAAAATTATATAAAAATGTTTAAAGTTAAAAGTTAAAATATTGTAAGGTACTTTAGTGCCATTTTTCAATTTTTTGAATTCATTTTGTTAATTGTGGGTAGGCTGTCTGTAACAACTATATAATATCTTAGAGACATCTAACACCTCAGTCTCTCCCGTGACCATGATTGCTGTAAAGCATTCGAAACGTCGGGAAACAAAAATACAAATAAATCCGCGACAAAATCCGAAAAGATAGTTTTATTTAAAAAGGAAACTGCTATGCCAGAAATAATTTTATCTATACATCTAATAAAATTGTAACTAAGCCGAATCTGTACATTAAATGTTTTTTGGAAATTCTTATTGAAATAGACATTATTATAGATACAGAGGCCGAATTTATAGTTTTTAGAATTTTTGTCTGTTTATCTGTCTGTCTGTTACCGCATCACGGAAAAACCACTGGAGAGATTTTGATAAAATTTGGTATTATGATTGCTGGTTATCCGGGTCAACATATATGATACTTTTTACCACGGGAAAATATCTTATTTCTGAGAAAAAATACAAAAACTGCATTGTAAGAGTATATTAATATGTAAAACCTAAGAATTTGTTTTGGTCATCTGAATGCGGGTGGAGCCACGGGCAATGCTAGTCTTCTTTCTCTTTGCCTTTTTCCACTTTAGGTGGGGTCGGCTCTCCTAATTATTTTGCGCCAGGCAGTTCTGTCCTGGATTGTCCCTATGTCTATGTTAGCCTGTTTTATGGTTCGGATCATGTTAGTCCACCAGGTGCCAGGGGGGCGCCCCCTTCCTCGTTTTATTTCGGGTAAATCCAACGCCCTGCGAACCACATAGTCATTGTCTCTCCGCATAACGTGTCCGTACCATCTTAGTCGACTTTCTGTTAATTTTTCATTTATCGGGGCTACTTTAAAGCTGCCTCTTACATATTCATTTCTGATTTTATCTAGCCTAGTTACACCTCCTGACCATCTCAGCATTTTCATTTCATTTACGTGTAATTTATGTTCATGACTTTGTTTAACGGCCCAGCATTCAGCTCCGTATAATAAGGCAGGTCGGATTGCTGTTTTATATACTTTTCCTTTAGTTCGGATGGGCATTCGTGGGTCACATAGAATACCTGTTAAGCTTCTCCATTTTTGCCACCCCACGTCTATTCTATGGGCTACATCTGCATCGATGTTTGCATCTGCTGTCATCAATGAGCCCAAATACTTAAACTGCGAAACTTTTGGTACTGGCGATCCATCGGGGTAGTAGATGGTGGCTGGGATATAATCAGGGTCTGGATCGTATAGACATTCCATGTGTTCTGTTTTAGATTTGCTGACGCGAAGACCGTACTTTTCGAGGGCTCTCGTCCATTTAGATAGTTCTTTTTGGAGTTGTGTAGGTGTGCTGGCTACAAGTGCGATGTCATCTGCATATAGTAGGCTCCATGGTCGCGGGGCTTGGATATCGTTTGTTAAATAATCCATAACCAGGTTGAAAAGTAATGGGCTTAAAGCTGATCCCTGGTGCACTCCCACTTTAACCTCAAAGCTATCGCTCAAGCCGGCCGGGCTTTTCACCTGAGTTCTGATATTTTGGTACATATCTCTGATCAAGCTAATGTAATACTCAGGTACATTTTGGGCTCTCAGCGCTTGCCACACAAGTCTCCTGGGCACTCTATCGAACGCCTTCTCTAAGTCAATGAATATAAAATTAAGGTTCTTTTTATTGATCCTATGTTTTTCCATAAGTACTCGTACTGTCTGGATTGCATCTGTTGTGGACCTGGAAGGAGTAAAGCCAAATTGGTTTGGCGATATCGTGGTTAATAGTTGGATTCTACTATTGAGTATATGCTCCCAGATTTTGAGGGTATGTGACGTTAATTTTATACCTCGATAATTCCCGCACTGTGTCACTTCTCCTTTGTTCTTGTAAAACGGTACCAGGTAGCTTTTTCTCCACGAATTTGGTATCTCTGATGTTTTTAAAATGATACTGAAAAGCTTTGTAAGCCACCCGATTCCTATTGGTCCAAGGACTTTCCACAGTTCCGCAGGTATTTCATCTGGCCCCACTGCTTTGTTGTTTTTCATTTTAGACACTGCCTTCTGCACTTCTGCGAGTGTTAGGTCTTCTATAGGACCCCGCACTGGTTCCAATGGTATAAGATGTTCACTGGGATATTCCTCATTCAGCAATGATTCGTAATACTCATACCACCGCTTGTTTATATCGGTATTTTTGGTCAAGAGGATATCATTTTTATCTTTAATATATTTATTGATTCTAACATCTAAAGTTGCATTGTGCCTTTTCTTGGCAATTTTAAATATTTCGCTGTCGGACTTGCTGTTTTCTATTTTATTGTAGAAAGTTTCTCTTGACTGTGCTCTTGCCTGGGCAACAGTGCGCTTAGCCAGTGATTTTGCTTCTTTATATCTATCTTTGTCAAAGTCGTTATTGGATTTCTGCCATTCCTTAAAAATCTGTTTCTTGTTACTTACTTTCTTCTTCACGTTTGTGTTCCACCATGTAGGGTCTTTTCCCGTGCTAACGCCACCTTTTGAGACACCCAAAGAGCTTGTTGCTTGGGCTTTACAAAAGATTTCGAATTTTTCCCATATAGTATTTGATGTCTCATAGTAATCTTCTATATCCTCCATTAGGTAATTGCGAATTGCGGTAACAAAAGATTCTCCCTTCTGGCTATTTAATTCTTTCCATTTAATTTTTGCTGTTTTATCTACTGTTGTTTTAATGGGTTTGGGTAATCTGAATGATGCAACAAGGATTCGGTGCTGAGTAGTCAAAGGTTCACCAGGGATTACTTTACAATCTTTAAATTGGCGTTTCAATTTTCTATCTGCAATAATGAAATCTATTTGTGTGGCCTTCTCTCCACTTTTATAAGTAATAATATGTTCTGGTTTCTTTTTAAAACAGGTATTTACTAAAACTAAATCATGTCTAACAGCATATTCCAATATGGTCGTCCCTTCTTTATTTAGGTTTCCATAAGCGTATCCCCCATGAACATTGTTAAATGTCATGTTATGATTTGATTTTCCAACATGACCGTTTAAATCTCCACAGATAATTCTGTGTTCATTTTGGGGTATTTCTTGAGTAAGTTCATCTAAATCTTCCCAGAACGACTCCTTTTCACTTTCAGAGCAGCCCACTTGGGGTGCATATGCTGATATTATGTTCACAATTGGTTGATTATCTAAAGCAAGTTTAATCGACATAAGACGATCCGTTCGTCTATCAATATTTATTATGCGATTTTTCAGGTCTTTATCCAAGACAATGTCTATGCCGTTCTGGTTGTTCATAGTACCATAGTAGACAAGTTTGTACCCCAGTCCTAGGTCTCTGGATTTTGAACCTTTCCACTTGGTCTCCTGTAGGCAGCAAATATTGACACGTCTCCGATGGAGAGTCTCTGCCAGTTCTTGTGATCGACCAGTGAGTGATCCCAGATTCCACGTTCCTATGCGTAGTTGTAGCGAAAGCTTGTTCTTGTCATGTACGTCGCTTTTGGGGAACGCCCTAGCATTATTCGCATCTTTCGCATTCAAAGCATTCGCGTCGCTTTTGGGGTACTCCCTAGCATTTATACTATTATCTCTTTTGTGTCTGGCCATGTTTAATTAGGAGATTGGTTTAAATTTTGGCTATTGTTTTTACGGCCGGTTGCCACCTGACGCCAAGACTGTCGCCTTCCTTAGGACGTGAGCGCCGCCGTTGGCCCCGGAGGGTTCATCCGCCGTCATCTCTTCTGTATGCCCCAGCCGAGACATACAGCACTGTCCACGACCTCTACTCCGAATATGTCGGAGAAGCCACGGGCAATGCTAGTATAATAATAAAACTAAAAGTGGAGTGGATAACACGGATAAGCTAATAGGAGAATATGCTGTAAAACGCAGAGCGAATCGGTGGCATTTAGCACTTTTTAACAATATCATTGACATTGCAACTTTGCATATTTAATTTACAAACAACATAATATGTCACAATTTGTCTCAAGTTACAAACGTAGAAAGTTTTTGAAATCCTTGTCTAGTCCAAGTCTACGACTTTGTCGTGTCAATATAGAAGAAAAATCAAATAAAATAAGTCATTTTTTAAGTAAATCGGTTTTATTGAAAAGAAAGATAATAATGATATAGATAATGTACTAAAAGCTTAACAATAATTAGGTAGGTCCTAGGTACTAATCCCACCACTCCCCTCATCAATCTAAGACATTGATCAGACTCAAAAATAAAATCGTGCGGTGTTACATATTTGCTCAGGTTACGCTACGCCGCACGATTTTATTTTTAAAGTTTTTTTAAGCTGTCTAAACTCTGTGATCCATGCACTGTATTTTACGTGGAAAGCCCTTTCATTTGATATCCATAATGAGGGTCGTTGTGAAAAAATATATAATCCATCATTTTGCGACCGCAGCCATCTGGGATTTACAATGATACTGAATATATTCAATTGTATTATCATCAGAACGAAAGGTGTGTAACTAATATGAGATCAATCTATTAACAGGAAAGTGGTAAAATTTCATTTACCACTTTTCTAAGCCCTTTCTCAAGCTAAATAAAACCGTTTAAAAATTACATGGTGATTTCAAAATTACAAGTTAGATTTGTAATGCAGATGAATGTGCTTGGCCAAAAATCACATTCGATTCCTTTTGGATCTACCACTTCTACCAAGTCAGGCTAGACATTATTCTACAGGACGTATTGCAATTGTTGGAGGTTGCTTCATATTGCAGAGAACTCAAACGCAAGCAAAGAAATACGCAAAAATCTTGCACTAACTGCGAAAGACCAGTTTGTGATGAACATGCAGTCAAGTGTCCAATATGTAACACCTGCTTCGAGAGTTGTTCTAATTCTGTATAAATACAGAAATTGTATTGTTTTCTCGTATTTAAATAAAACATTTTAATAAATATTTCTTATTTCATTTATTATTAGTATTTCGAGTACAAAATTAGAAATATTTTTTGCTACATTTTATACAAAACACAAAGAAGTACCCGGGTATTTTGTCACTCTACCGTGAAAAAAATGTTTTAGCTTCCTCAAAATAGTGTGGATAATGGGTTGATGGGGTCAGAGTATAAAGAATATGGTTTATATAAAGAGCTCTTGAGCTTTCACGAAGTCACAGCTATCTATAATGCGTAAATTATCCTTTTTCAACCGACTTCAAAAAGGAGGAGGTTCTCAATTCGACTGTATTTTTTTATGTCTGTTACCTCAGAACTCCGTCATTTATTAACCGATTTGGACAATTTTTGTGTTGTTTGAAAATGTATACTTCCAGATTGGTTCCATTTAAATTTCAAAAAAAAAATATAACCCCTAAGGGTTAAGGTAATTTAACCTACTTCTAATTGTCATATTGACTTGAAACTTTGCAAGTGTTTCTATTTCCGTTGATAGTACAGTGGTTCGGTATTGTTGACCTGATCTGATGGTAAGGCCAGAAGGTGGATAGGTGGAACTCTTCAACGACTAATCATACAAAGCAAAGCACACCGACTTCGAAAATATTTGATTAGGTATGAATAGTAAATGAAAACTACCAATCAGTTATTTTTTACTTTTTAGTGCTTTTGTTTGAAGTCGGTTTTTATTTTTTTTTAATTGTAAATGCTAAAGGCACCCGGGTACTTCGTCACTCACATAGGGTCACAAATTTATTTCAAACGCTTTGAGGTGGGGTTGTAACTTGTATTATTGTTGAAACATAAATGAATGGAAATGCTACAATTAATATTTATTTAGCGATAAATTAAATTATCAACATAATAAATATAACTAAATATTATTATAAAATTTAAACTTGTATTTGAATTATGATCTTTTATGGAAACTACCTACAGTCAATTTTTAGCATAAAATCTCCTACGCGATGCTAAAACATTACATCATACTATATTTCTATATATAAAGAATTATTTTTAGCTACATAGTGCACTCAAAAGTGAAGACCATGAGGAGTTCTAAAATAGTTGAACACATTGCATTGTGTAATAAACGATTGTTTAATGTAAAGTAACTGTGTTCCTTCTGTTTAATTCTATAGAGATACATATTGATAATATATAATTATAGAAAATTTGCTGTGAAATAATCTGTAAAAATTTCGTAGGATATCATCAAATTATTGGATACAAATGTTCACCATGAAGTGTGCTCTGCTTTTTTTATTCATTTGTTTTTTATATTGCAAAGGTGCAGTTATAATTAAAAAAAGCAATGTGGTTAATGAAAGGCCGATTGTTGGTATTTTATCTCAAGAACAGTCTTTTCAACTCAGAGAAAAATACGTCGATGAAAATTATACGAGTTATATAGCAGCTTCTTACGTTAAGGATGTTGAAGCGTCAGGCGCTCGAGTGGTGCCTATTCTGTAAGTTCAATTTTATTTATATTCTCTATCATTTAACGTTTTATTTTTTACTTGTTGCCTAATTAACGAATGTTGTGATTTCACTTTGTTTCAAAGTCTTTGAGTAGGAACGAAAACGCGTTAATGATGTTTGTAAGTTGTGACAATCCTAAGTACTACAAAATAATATTAGCGAGTGGACCCGCTATGAATCTGTCCCAACTCTTTGATACCTTTGTTTGTATAGTGCGGAACCCTAAATACACGTTTTAAATGAAATCGTTAATATTATTTTTTCATACTAATTGTTTTTTTTTTCTGTTCATTGTCTTTCTGTTTTGTCTTCTGCTTCTTATTTGTATTAGTTAAAAGTGGAAACTTCATTGGTTTATGTGTTTTCTTATTATCATTTATTATTTAATTGTAATAATGTACTGTTTGTTTCCCTAATAAAATAAATAAATTATTCATTAGATGATATTATGTTTCTTTCACATATTTTACTTGCTCAGTTGACTTTATCCGATCGTATTTTATAAGAATTTATTGAAAAAGAAATTAATAATTGGGTTTTTATATTTTCAGTATTGGAAAGGATCGCAGTTACTATAAACAACTCATGGGAAAGATAAATGGGTAACAAAAATATTTACATACTTATCTTTGTGTTGTATATGAATAACAAAAACAAGTTTTTCATCTCTTGTATGCGTGAACTAGCATATCCTACTAATATGCTATATGTAAATGCGAAAGTTTCCTACCTAATATGCTATATGTAAATGCGAAAGTGAGGATGTATGGATGTCTGGATGCATAAATGTATGGATGTTTGTTACTCTTTCACGCAAAAACTACTAAATGGATTTTAATGAAACTTTACAATAATATAGCTCATACATCAGAATAACACATAGGCTACTTTTTATCCCGGAAAAAGATACGGTTCCCGTGGGATAGTTTTATTTATTGTTCTTCTAGAGACGAACCCGAGCGATGCGAGGGTAAGCCAATAATATATGATAATATTTTTACAGTAACAATCGACTTATACAAATTATATTCTGTACCTACTGCCTCGGTGGTGTAGTGGCTAGCATGTACGGCTGCACACTCGGAGGTCCTGGGTTCGAGTCCCGGGTCGGGCCAAGTTTAGTTATTGAGTCTTTCTGTATAGTAAGTCTCAGTAACAGCCCGGAGTTGGGAAGTTGGCGGTGTTTCACCCCCGTGCCTCGGAGAGCACGTAAAGCCGTCGGTCCTGCGCCTTAACTCTCACTGGTCGTGTCGAGCAGTCGTCCCACCGGAGTATGAGAGTGACAGGAATAGAGAGTGCACGTTGTGTCTGCGCGTACACTTGTGCACTATAATATCTCCTGCGCAGTTGGCTAGTCTCAATGAGATAGGCCGCCGTGGCCGGAATCGGTCAGGAGCACATCATCATATTCTGTACCTAATATAATGTCAAACTATATTGATATGATATTTTTTTACTTAGACTTAGATAGGGTAGACTTTTACATAAAATCATTTTTATTTGTTTTTAAATTTCAGAGTCCTACTTCCGGGTGGCGCAACATACTTTAATAATTCAAACGGTTATGCCGACGCTGGTCAGCATATTTACGAAATTGCTCAGGAATTAAATGATGCCGGCGATTACTTTCCCATATTTGGAACTTGCTTGGGTTTTGAACTCCTCATAATATTAGCGTCAGGACGAGGCAAAGAGGAAAACAGAATTGGATGTAAATCTTACAGTAATCGCAGGCTTCATTTTAGTAATGGTAATAAATTAAAATAACTTATAGTCACTCCTTTTTTCTACTTTTTTCTTTAATGTTGGGGAATGCACCACGACAAGATGAACGCACGTTGGGGGGACCTTACAGTAACTCCTACAAAATTAAATTATCTTATAACTTAATTTAACACCTACAGGTAAATTTCTAAGAAATTAATTAAATTACTAAGAAATCTATTGTTCACTGTAACGCCGGCGTGTCCGCCGTCGTGGAGGGATTAAGAACCAAACCAAATAGAAGTAATTAAAGATTATTATTAAACAATATATTTATTATCGTCATAGTAGACATAATATGTGTAAGCCGACAATATTTTAAGATAGGAATGTCTAATAGGTAAATATGTGTTTTACGTATCGAAATATATTAGATTTGCTTTGCACCGACTGGCACCGACTTCGAAAATATCCGATTATGTATCTGTTCTAAATGAAAACCCCCATTTAGTCATTTTTTACATTTTAGTGCTTGAATGTCGGTTTTTATATTTTTTTTTTAAAGTTTTTATTTTAAATTTGAACAGGACAACGTCACGTCCAAATTTAATGACACAATATAGGTAGTTTAAAATTGTAAGATCGCGACAGAAAATCTCCATTAACTCTTTCCTGAGACTCTTTCCTGAGACTCGAATCTGTAGCTCTATAGATCAATAAGGCCTTTACTTATTATTCTTGGAGATATTTGGAGAGTTCATAAAATATTTAAAGAGTAACTCAATTGTTTTCTTTGTTTCAGATTATTACACAAGTAAAATGTTTAAAGAAGCTCCAAGTGATGTTATTGACATTTTGAAAAACAAAGAGGTTACTGTAAACTATCATCAGTTTTGTATAGTGGATGAAGTGAGTAGATTTCAATTAGTTAAGTAGGTATAACTTTTATATGTTAAAATATGTACTTTAAAATAAAATGAAAGTGTATGTCTGTGATATATCTTAATATCTACTCTGCGTAGTTGAAATGCCAAAGCCGATGATAAATATTTGCCTTTCTATGTAAATATATGTTTGGTTTAGGTTCTGGATCTCGACAACAATTCCTTTTTTTTCCTCACACCGGAATTTTATATATAAAGAGGTCTACCCACTATCACCTATGTATTTAAATAACAGAAAAATAAAGACATTTTAATTAATAAAGAAATAGTGAGAAACGATTTCGACAATTTCATCTCTATGAATCTAATCGAATTATTTATATAATTAAGGAGTACCGGTTTAGATCTCATAGTATTTCACCAATGTGACATAAAAGTGATTTCGACAATTTAAAGTACTAAACTAAACTATTATTTTATTTTAGAACATAAAATCGCACAATCTAGATAGATTCTGGCGCGTGACGTCACACAGTACTGATGATAATGGTTTGGAATTCGTTTCGAGTGTTGAACATAAAAGGTAGGCTTTTCACGACTGGTTATATAACAAAGAATAGATACTTATTTAAATAAAAATCTAAAAATATTATAGGCCCTAACCTTCTTTTATCTATTTTCCACATAGATAAATAAATAAATAAATAAGTATTGTCTCTTGCAACTTAATAACAGAGTTTTTATATTTATTTAATTAACTACATGTACGATTTAAAAAAAAATATAGTTATATATATTTTTTTCTTTTGTTTTATATATATTTATTTTGTGATGGCTGCAAGCACCGCTCGTGCGGTAAAAGCCTCCTCCAATACCGATACCGTTACCGATAATAAACTGAAATATCGTTAGATATAGGTACCTATGAGAATAATTAATGGCTGTTGATACGGTTGATACGGTGGTTCTGGGTTAGTTATAGAGGTTTTCTGTCAAGAAACTGTAGCAACCCGGAGTTGGGAAGTTTGTGATGTTACACTCAAATCCGTAGAGTACTTACAGCGTGAAGAAAGAACGAAAACATACACTCCACTGACAAATTTTCACATTTATAAGTGTTTTTGAAATATGTAATCTTATATTTAATTTTATTATTTTAGATATCCATTTTATGGAGTCCAGTTCCATCCAGAGAAGAGCGCTTTTGAATGGAAAGCTTCGAGAGGGTACCCACATACAGCAGAGGCAGTGCGAGCAAATCGTTATTTTATGGATTTTTTCGTGGAGGAATGTAGGAAAAATTTTCACAGCTTTTCAAAAAACGAAAGTCAAAATTTAATTTATAATTACAATCCACATTATACAGGCATCCTAGGCAGTGCTTATGAGCAATGTTATTTTTTTGAACCTAGAAGAAATGTTTCTTAAATTAGACATTTAAGAGGTGATCTATTAAGTGGTGGTGGTATTAAGAGGTGGTCAATAAAACATGTTTTTTTTAATTTATAATGATATAAATAATTATATATTATTTTAGATGTATTTAAAATGTAGAAATACCTTTAACGGGGTACTAAAATAAATAATTTAAAAAAATGATTAATTTTATTTAATATCATTTAATAGTACCTATTCATAGTAATAGGTATAATGTAACAACGGTATATTTACATTAAATATTTTTTGAAGAATAAGTATTTTTGGGGTAGATTCTATTTCAGTCTTCGGAATATTTACTTATTTGTTTGTTTTATCATACATAGTTGCCTTTTCACCGTTAAAACTATTAGGTATTTGTGGCTAAATGTTTTTATTGTATTATATAGGTCAATATTGATTGAATTTGAAATTGGTCAATGCATATTGATGCAGACGCTTTAAAAGTGTTTCTTTGTAAGCAGATGATACCACAAAAAAAGTAAATGTGATAAGTAGATAATTTATAGAATTAGGAAAGCGGAAATAATTTATGGGTTTTAATGAAAATTAGTTTCTATTAGAGTTAACATCCAAATACTCTTTACAGTGCTTGAACGGATCATTCCCCCAGGACATCACAACTTTATCAAAGCTCGTACGAAAATTCTGTTAGTAGTAATAGGGAGGTTCGCTCTGATGTAGATAGCCTCGCTTATAATTTAATGCTTACTCAAAATGACTATTACTGTATTATGTTTCTCATATATTCGATATGTCCTTTTTGATAATATTTTTGCACCTAAATGCATTACGGGCGACCGTTAAGTAAACATTTTTTTATGTCGTCCTAAGCGAATGTTACGCAGCCTAAAATTTCGCAATTTCACCCATTAATATACTTGAAAAAATATAACGTCAATCTTAACTGTTGTGATGTACTAAACTCTATTTACCCTGGTCTGCATTTATTTCTCGAGAACATTTCATATTAAAACTTTCTAATATCAGATCGAAGCTTTTCAGTCATTTTAAAAAATCTATATGTCTAATATATTAAATAATTAACTAATATATTTAACAATTAAATAATTAATTTACTCATAATTGTAAGTACTATTAAAAATGTAGTAATAAACTTATAGTTAAGTAATAGACAAGTAACGTCCCTCTTTAAATAAGTTATATTTTGTTTTTAAAAGGTCTTGTCTTTAGACATATTTTTTTACTCGTAAAAGCTACACTTAGAGTAAAAATCACTATTTTCAATGAAATAACACTTAGTAATAAAGGAATTATGTCAATAGCTTTGGGCACCGTAGGTTATATCGGGTCTATGCCCTTTGAACGTGGTTGACGCCCGCCGCAGACCTCCAGGCTATGTTTGTTCTAGTTGCTAATACTCGTAGACGAGAAATATACACATTACACGTTGACTTTGTGCTTTGCATCATTTTGTTGTTAAGTGCTATGCAACTCGCTAGAGTTGCATAACAAATACATAATACAGTAGCTTGCTGTCTATTACGGAGCTACCTATTGTGTTATCCATTTAAATTGAATCGAATAAAATAATAAAATAAAAGGAAACTATTTTGATATATTAATTAAATTTTTAATTTGTCTGTCTATGTAATAAAACAACATTAAATCAAGCTATTATATTAGTATATATGCTGCGACAAAAACATAGATGAGTTGTAATTTGGCATGTTGATTCTGCTCCGATAACAGTGATATTTTATAATAATACTTACATACAATAGTGATTATGTTTTTTGATTACGTAGGTATATAAGTAATAGTGAGCATAAATCATTAACAAAGGAATATTCTTACAGCAAATTCTAAATTCTGAAATATCCAATCTAATTGTTTTTATGAGGTTATGTAAAACTGTATACATTATATGAACTGTGATTAAACTACGATAATAAAAAAAAACTATTGAACTTTGCCGTTATGCAAAATTAAATTAATAGTAACGCGTCTGTAAACAACATACTTTTATTTATTCTAATAATATCACACAGCTTACTCAGATCTTTATTGAGTTGAACGGACGCAGTTTTACTATAGATTTCATTTTTTTATTTCTAGTTTTGAAAATATTACGAAATTGGTTTTATATATAAATAAAAAAAAACGATAGTTCATAGTAATAATTGCCAAAAAATCGAGCTTCTCTCTGTTCCATGTAAACGAATATTTTATCTTTGCGGGGCCCCGTAAGACTTAGGGGGCCTTAGGGCGGCGCCCCGGGTGCCCTTATGGTAAAGACGGTACTGAATATACTCACACCTGTTTTATTTAAAATCTTTACATTTATTGTGTTACATCCCTGAAATCGTTTCCTTTTTACTAATACATTACCTGTGCACATGAATGTCAACACACAACATCCACCCTCGAAGTTCCTGCTCTAATGGAGCCACAAAAATAGAGTCTGGCTAACGAAAGCGTATCCTGGAGATTTCTTAAAAGTTTTGATATGACAACATTATTAAGCTGTGAAAGGCACGTCAAACTTCAAAGTCTCTGGTTGCTCTGGTTATAAGGGTTGTTAGTAACTGTTTACATTGAATTGAATAGTATATATTTTTGTGCATATACTAATGGGTGCATACATGATACGTGAAACGTGTATACTAATATTAGATTTGAGTTGTTTACAATCTATACATATAATAAAATTGTAACTAAGCCGAATCTATACATTAAATATTTTTCAACCGACTTCAAAAAGGAGGAGGTTCTCAATTTTTTTATGTTTGTTACCTCAGAACTTCGTCATTTATTAACCGATTTGGACAATTTTTGTTTTGTTTGAAAGGGTATACTTCCAGATTGGTCCCATTTAAATTTCAAAAAAAAAATACCACCCCTAAAGGTGGAAAAATAGCTAATAATGAATTTAACCTACTTCTAATTGTCATATTGACTTGAAACTTTGCAAGTGTTTCTATTTCCGTTGATAGTACAGTGGTTCGGTATTGTTGATCTGATCTGATGGTAACGCCAGAAGGTGGATAGGTGGAACTCTTCAACGACTAATAGTAGATACTTTGAGCTTGGGCTTATTTTATTTGGTTTGACAAGCCTTTAGAATTCTTACTTTGCTACTACTGTCTACACTAAAAAGGGAAAAATAAAAACTTTTTAACAAAAAAATAAAAACCGACTTCAAACAAAAGCACTAAAAAGTAAAAAATAACTGATTGGTAGTTTTCATTTACTATACATACCTAATCAAATATTTTCGAAGTCGGTGTGCTTTGGCTAAGTAATTAAAGCTTACCTATTAAATACATACCTAATCAAATATTTTCGAAATTGGTGCCAGCCCATACAAAGCAAAGCACACCGACTTCGAAAATATTTGATTAGGTATGTATAGTAAATGAAAACTACCAATCAGTAATTTTTTACTTTTTAGTGCTTTTGTTTGAAGTCGGTTTTTATTTTTTTGTTATTGGGAAATCTTATTGAAATAGACATTATTATCGATACAGAGGCCGAATCTATAGTTTTTAGAATTTTTGTCTGTCTGCCTGCCTGCCTGCCCGCCTGCCCGTCTGCCCGTCTGCCCGTCTGCCCGTCTGCCCGTCTGCCCGTCTGCCCGTCTGCCCGTCTGTCCGTCTGCCCGTCTGTCCGTCTGCCCGTCTGTCCGTCTGTCTGTCTGTCTGTCTGTCTGTCTGTTACCGCATCACATAAAAACTACTGGAGGGATTTTGATGAAATTTTGTGTGGTGATAGCTGGTTATCCGGGTCTACATATAGGATACAGTTTACCGCGGGAAAATATCTCATATCTGAGAAAAATACAAAATCTGCATTGTAAGAGTATACTAATATGTAAAACTTAAGAATTTGCTTTGAATTTAAGAATCTGAACGGGGGCGGAACCGCGGGCAATACTAGTGAATTGATAAAAATTTATATCAAATTAAGAAACAACTTAAGGATTACTTAATTTTAAAGCACGGTTCGGAAACTTTCTTTTGTAAAGTATGATGTGGATCGAGATCCCGCTGCAAGATGGCTACGTTCATAGCGTGTTTAATCAAAACCAATTTTTTATATACAATCATAAACGGGACAATAAGTTTTGATCGGGGTACCTATTCAAATGTGCCCGCTAGTATGTTTAATTAACTAAATAATATTCCACTTTTTGGAACAAAAACGATGCATTTGTTATTACAATGAATTATACTCCACTTCACAGAACTAAGTATACGTAGAGATCTTGAAAAATGATAGCTGCCGTTGCGCATTTGGCCGCAACCTCTTCGCAGCCAGGTGTAAGCGGGTCATATTTTGGGACGCTTATACGTTCATGGCGTATATTCATCATTTAAATATCAAATTAAAGCTAATTTTTTTTTGTGCATGATAAAATACCTCTCTAGGTGAGAGAGAGAGAGAGAGAGAGAGTGTAAAAGTGGCCGCAATGGAAAGAAAGGAAGGAAGGAATATAATATTATATGTCATTTGTCAGACAACAACAACGGTTACCATGGCAACAAACAGTAACTAACGCGCTAACTCTCTTTCACTTTAATCTATCTTTGCCATGGTAACCGTTGTACGACGACTATACAATGTTTTTATATTTTCAAAAGTAGAGTTCAAGACGAAAAAAATGAGCCCTATCTGAAAATTGAACGAACTATTTTTTAAATGTAAACGCCCACTTGAAGTTGGGGGTGATTTTCAACATCTCGAGACCATAAAACATACTTTTCTCGAAAATGGCTAAACATTTCAATTTCATTTTTTTATTTATTAAGTATAATAATGTATTTTGAAGGTTACATTTCCTTAGTTTCATGGAAATGCAAAGATTATTCTAGAAATTAAAATAAAAAAAAACAAGAAAAAGTTAAAAACCGAGTTTTTTTGCAAATATCTCGATAACTTTGGGGTTATTGTATTTATAAAAGTTGGGGATTTTTACTAAACCTACAACTTTCGTAGAAAACATTTTTCGATAGAACGTCACAGTA